AGCAGGAGAGAGTGGGGTACCCACTCTCCAAGCCAGGCTGTTCTTCTGTGTCTTACGTAATTTCCCTTCTCATTCTACCTTTCCTGCTCCCCAAGTCCTTGGGACCATTATGGGCACACTAGATAGTAGGTAAATCCATCGATTCTCGTCATTTGTGGTAGTTAGGGTCTAGAAAGTTGCCAGGAACACTGAATTGGCCAATACCAAACCATTGGTCTTTAGGGAAAGAGCCACACATGCACGCGCGCGCACACACCCCCACACACACACACACTCCTCACCTAGATTATATAATCTTAAATCTCGAGAGCAAGTCATCCTGGTAGATTCTATTGTCTTTGTTTTGAGAAAGAGAAAAGGAGGTTCCAGAGTGCTAAGTGACTTGCCTGAGGCTGACCCACTCACAGGTGCCAGAATTGGGACTCAAAACCCATCCACCTGGCCCCAGAGCCAAAGCTTCTTACACCACAGTGCGCTGTCCCTGTTGTCGCCATCCTTAGATTATAGAAGAGCTAAAGCAAGAAGGCCGAATGTGTCCTTATTCAACCTCACCTGGGTGCTAGGAGGGTGACTCATGTGTTTCTCGTGCTCTGAGCATGTCTGAAATGAACACAGAGAGGCCGCAAGTATTGATTTGGGGTTACAAATTAATCCTTAAGTTGGAGTGAGCACGTAAATCGCAAATACGGAATCTACAAATAATGAAGCTAGACTGTAGAATTTGTGTGGGGGGTTCCCGTTAAAAGCAGAGTTGGGAGTGCCAGCAAATACCTTTTCTATGTCTTTTGGCTGGTTCCTTTTCACCCCTGCAGAGACTTATCAGAGAGTTCTTGTACAGCCCATAAAATGGACCCTACTCTCAGCCGTGTTCAGTCACATTACCCTGTTTGGTTTCCTCTAGGCACTTGTCATGATCCCAAATTTTTATTTGTTTCTTGACTTGTTCAGCCTGTTCCCCTGTGCTTCTGTGTAAACTCTGTGATGATGGGGACTTTGTCTATCTTGGACGCCCTGCCTGCCCAGCGCTTGGAATGCTGTCTGAGACACCCTGGGAACCCAGTTGCTATTATTCGAATGAATAAATGAGTAGACCGATGAATGAATCAGTAGTTGTATGTGGGTCTTTCACAGTGAAGGCCACAAGTGTTTTATACAAGGAGCCTCGAGCTTACATGACACTGGCTGTGTCACTTGTAGTCTCAGATAAGGCATCAGGGCCTAAAAAGTAGAAAGAAGAAAAAACTTCTGCCAGAATTGAGTTTGGGTCTAACTTTAGAAGAATTACTTTAGAGCATTTTGCAAAGGGGTGAAGTTAGTACTAAGGACTAGAAACAGTGATGGGGGGAATGGTGTGTTTCAGAATGAGAAGAGAAGTCATAGCTGCAGACGTAGAGAGGTTGCGTGCTGAGCACATGGGTGAGGCCAGAAGAGAGAGGAGGTCAAGGTAACTGAGCTTCTTCTCATGAGGGACCGAGGTGACATTTACACATGAGTATGATTGAGATGAGAAAAAAAGCTAGTGGTGAGAAGCCTGGAATGGGAAGAGGCCTCATTCGAAGCTCCGTTTTGTCCTGTAATATCAAGGGCGCTGAAGAATATGTGCCCTATTTCCAATGCAGTCCAGAGGTGGGGTCCAGTAGTCACCTACCACTGGCCATCATTCCTAATTAGCCCCATCCCACTCTTGTCTTTAAGGTAGGGATGAAGAAGGTGGAGGTAGAGGTCAATGAAAGCAGGTTTGGGGGCTGTTTCTTTCATCCTTAGATTGGCTGTCTACTCAAAGCACTTCCATTGGCCTTAGTGATTCTGAGTCAAAAGATGTGGATCTGAAATTGAAAGCTGAAATCATAACCAGGAGCTGCCGGCTTCCAAACCAAACTTGGGAACTAGAAACACCTGAGTGCACTGCTAGCAACCAATAAACTATGCCGTATTTGGATTAATAGCCCTTAGAAGAAGTGAAATCCAATCAAATCATTAACTTCTTTTAAGTGACATATAAAACAGCAAAACTGTGGAAAATTTCTTTGTAGTGGAAGAGTTTTAGAAATATAGGATAGCATTCAACTTACTTTATTGTACCTTTTGGAATATAAGAATGCTAGGGTTACAAAAATTTGGAAGCTTCATCAAAGTATAAGAAGAGATTCAACTTTCCTGGTTTTAAAGGAAAGTCAATTCTGTGCTTTTTGAAAGATCTAAGGAAAATACTTGGCTGAAAATGAACAGATCATGTTTCCAAATTTCTGGGAATTTATATTTTGGGGCTGAGGTGGTTGTGGTATCAGCTTTCTCAAAACATATTTGGCTCAACAAAGTAGATTTCAGTCTCCTTTTTTTTTTGTAAAACAAATCTATCCATCATAAATATCAAATGATCAGAATTGGGATTAAATGGAACCCCATGTGATGATGGCAACTGGACCACTTTTCCCATCATAGAGTAACTCCAATCCCAATGATCTTCAGAGTGAAATGGATCCCAAACTAAATTGTAGTCTATGAGCAAAATGACTTCGCAGTATGGACACTACCACCTCAGATCTATGACTTCACAGTGTTACTTGTTTCCTCACATATTATTCCACATATTTACTACAATAATCCCACATGGCCAAGACAGCAGGTATTACTCACCTCATTTTACAAAATAGGAGAACTTAGAAATGGATGTTTTCCTTGACTTTCCCAATATCGTCCCTCCGCAAGTGTGTAGAGCTAGCACTCCACGCCACATTTCAGGGCACCCGCTCCAGAACTACCAGTGGGGTTGGATCAGGTTTACTCAAAGCCAGAATAGCATTCAGCACAGAATATGTTAGCAACAACATCAAAACCTGAGGACTTCGTGATTCGCTCAGTTGATTTTTGACAAAAGTGCTAAGACGCTTGAGTTGTCTTCCAGTTGTCTCTTCCATACACGGTGCTTAGACAACGGACTATCCATTAGTCAAAAGATACAGTTGGACCCTACTTTGCATCATACATAAAACTTAACTCAAAATGGCTTATAAACCTAAAGGTGAGAGATAAAACTTCTAGAGGAACGTGGAGGTGTACATCTCCATGACCTTGGATTAAGTTGCTTAGCTATGACATCAAAAGCACAAATGACGATAGAAAAGTGGGTAAATTGAACTCTATAAAAATTAAAAACTTTCATCAATCTCGGGGTCATGAGTTCGAGCCCACGTGGGGGTGTAAAGATTACTTAAACTTAGAAAAAACACCAAAGGGCATCACCAAGAAAATGAAAAGATTTGGGAAAGATGACTCATTTCATTCAACAGCCAAAGATCCCTGCCCTTAGGGAGCTTGCATCCCATTAGATTTACCTTGATTGTACGCTTGAGTGGTTTTGCTCTTAGGGCTCATTCTGGAACATACTTTTTAAGTATTAGGTGCCGCTTTCCAGAAATTTCACTTTCTCCATCGTAATGTGCCCTGGTTTCTATATGATTCCATCCTTTTCACAGCTCAGTTGTAGTCAGTTATTAAATTCAGTTTGAGGTCAAGGGGAAAGAGAAGAACTTTCTTGAGAGTAATGGCATTTTGAGTAAATATTTCCATGGGTAGCAAAGTTTATTTGGGAATCCTCAAAGGGAACTAGAAATGACAACAGAAAAGTAATGGTAAGAGAAATTGAGCCCAGTGATGAACTTCCTTGAGATACTAGCCCGAGTTCCATGTTCTGTACTTGTCCATCAAAATGCATCTTGTAATTTTATTCATTAAACATTTAGCCAGCAAGTCTGTGTGCTAATCTGACATAGGACCTGATCTTGGGGTTTGCCGCACATGGCCACTGACCATTATCTTCTCAAAAAGAAGATGTCTTGAGTACTCTCTCTGCTGTGTCTTGCAAGGATCAGGAATAAAACTCAAGGAATCTTGGCCTCTGGACACAGGACATGCTTTCTCTGAACAGCCGTCAATGGATTTTTATCCTGAACTTCTGACCCTACTTCCAGTCTATCTCATTCGGAGAGAATGGAATTACTGCAGTTAAATAAAGTATCCCAAATCAAAAGGGCTTAATGACTGGGCTGTGTCTCCTCCCTGAGATATGCTAGAGTAATCAATGATGCTATTGTCATTCTCTGTAACACTGCAACTTCTGTGCTGTGTTAAAATCATAAAACTCCTGCAGGCTCTCTCCATTTCCCACAGCTGTGATTTCTGGGTCTCTGTTTGCGAATAAGCATTTCAGAATTGTCATGAGGTGGAGGAAATAGCATGTGCAGAGTATTTCCCAAGCCCTGTTGCCAAGAATGAGCTAATTGTCATCCTCCCTTGCATATAATGTCTTAAAAACTTCAAATACAAGCCATTCTACAATCATCTACCTTTCCTAGAGAATGGCATGTGTTCATTGCAGAACCTCGGTCTTCTGGAAGTACACCAGAAGGAAAATCTTAAATTATGTCCTAAGATTAATAAAATAGTCAACCATCCTTTTTCTTTTTTGATGTTTTCTTGGTGATGAAATACAAAGTCGATGTCCGTATTTAAAAGAAAAGTTAAGTAAATATGATATAATCTTGCTACTTTGCTTCTGGAAAATTTGTTCAATGGATGTCAATAGTAATTTATTCTCCATAAAGGAATAATACTGTTTTTTTTAAACTTACTTTTTTGTTTAATTGGCCAAAATTACACTTTCTCTCAAGTTATAAAAGCAGGAATCACAAATATATTTCAAGCATCGATTTCCAACTAATTGGTAATAGCTACATATATGTTGGGTTAAGGAAGATTCTGAAGCCAAGTATGGCTTTGTAGAAAAGACTGCTACCATTGGATAATAATGTTCTCCAAGGATGCAAGATAGGGAGTGGACGTGTAAGTCCTGTATTTTCCATATCTGTATAATTGGAAGAAGAGTTAACATTTAAAATATCTTTTTTAGTGATTACCAGAAACATAGTAGTCTTTATTAAAGAGCATGTAACTGAAAATCGAATGCCAAATAAATGCTTACTATTCTATCTATCCTGTAGGTCAATGCATCACGTCAAGAAGCCAAATTGATGGAGGAGTGTGATCTTCTCATTGAGATCATTCAGCAGAGACGACAGATTATTGGAACCAAGATCAAAGAAGGGAAGGTATGATTTCTAGGGTAGAAGATTTCATATTCTCTACCCGGAGAAAACACCATACTCCCATGTACTTCAGTAGCTTAGGAAACATCGAATACCCTCCCTTTTCTATATTTTCCACAGTTTCCTCTTAAGTCTTTAAGACAGAGCTCAAAGGCCCCTGGTTGGCCATTGTTTTTCTCCACCCCTTTCTTTGTATCATCACCGTCTCCTGTGCACATCTGTAAGAAGAGGGTTACATTACATTATCTCTCCTCCATTACTGAACTCCAGGGGTAGCTTGGAGCTCTGGTCTATTATAGCCACTGTTTTCATCTCTCTTCTCTATGAGAAGGGGGGTTCCACAGCAGAGGAGTTCATTTCATATTTATCGCTATATCCTAGCAATTAACACAGTATTAAATAAATGTTTCAGTGAATCAGACTTTATATAGAAATTGCAGTGTTTTCTCATGCCAGGGAGCGAATTCAGACAAGTATAATTTCATGGTGGCAAAACTACTATAGTTTCACTATATCATATATCCCTTTTTGGATATAGTATTAGAAATTCTTTTTTAATGTTTGTATCTTTTAAATTCCTATGGTTTTTATTGAAATACTTAAGATCCATTTTATTTTACTCATTTCTCTGCCACCCTCAAGAGGTAATTTTGTAAATATTTAAAAAAATAGAAACGTTCATTCAAGATCCAATAAATTCATAAAGTTCTATTATTACTGCTCATAACCATACTTTAATGAAATATATATAATTAAGTTAACAACAATTAAGTGGTACACAGAGGTTCTAATAGCTAATATATGTGCTGTTCTCTGTTTTCTACCACTTTTAAAAGATACTTTCAATCCTGTATAATGTTTCAGAGTCCTTTGTCTATGTAAGTTGAAAAATATTTATGCATGTAAATTGTGATGGTGATCAGAAAAGTTAAGTCAGATAGCTCTGGAAGCTGTTACAGTGAATTAAGAAATTAATATGAACTCATTCCCTGGCCAAGAACTGACTCATATGTGTTGAATGGCGACTTTTCCCCACGTACAAATTGTACAACTTGGAAGAGCACTGAGTGTCCACCTGGAATCCTCCCAGGACATTTTTCCTCTTCCATTATCATGTACCAGATGTGTACATCTCTTAATACCTGACGTCTTCCAGGTCCTCAGATGTATGATTGCCTGAAATACAGCTGCAATTCATTAATATGCATGTGGGAGGGAATTTGTTGCCTTTACATGGTACAGGGATCAGCTCTCAATGCTAATATTAGTTTCTTATTGCTGCTATAACAAATATCGCAGACTGGGTGACTTAAACCAAAATATATTTAGTATCTGACCTCCCTCCAGATGTCAAGAGTCCAAGATCAGTCTCACTGGGCTTAAAGTCAGTGGTTCAGCAGTGTTGTCTCTTTCCGGAGCCTCTAGGGCAGAATCCATCCCTTGCCTTTTCTGGCTTTTAGAGGTCACCTGCATTCCTCGGCTCCTGGTTTCTTTATCCCATCACTCTGACCTTTGCTTCCCTCCTCAGATCTCTTTCTCTGGCACAGTTCTCTCTGGTTCTCTCTTGTAAGGACCCTTCTGATTACTCTGGGATCCCCCAGATCATCCAGGATAATACTCCCCTCTCTCAAGGTCCTTGCCTTAATCACATCTGCAACATCTCTTATCCATGTAAAGCGACATAGTTTAAAAACTCGTGGGATTAGGATGGAAGCATCTTTGGGGGGCCCTTATTCAGCCTGGCCTGCATGCCTTTCCCTTGCTTAACTTTGCAACATCGGGGTTTCTCTCATGAGCTCGATTGAAGTAGCGAAGGGATGTCCACAGTTCCTGCTGTGGTGATACATGGGGTTGGTGCTTTGGTGTACCCACTCCACCCCAAACACATGTCAGTGACAAGAGAACATAGGAAAATAGGAAAGCAAAGAGATCCAGCTGGACCCAAAACAAGACAAAGGTCTCCATGGGCCAGAGATGGGACAAACCTGTAAAGCTGCGATTGTGGCTAAAACATGGGAGGGGACTTGGTCTGGAAGAGACCAGAACAGCAACACCTTCAACTCCAGTGGATAAAGAGTTCTTGAAGCCTTGGGATAAAGTGGCTGGAAGTGCTCCAGATGGTATAGGGGACTAAAATCAGGCTCGTTGGTTAAAGCCATGGGCCGTAGAAGGCTTCTCAGTTCATTAAAAGGCATTAAAAAAATTATTGCCAGCCTCTACGTCGGGTCATAGTTTTTAGGGATTTCGGTCCTGGGAGTCTGGAACAAGTTGTCAGGCTGGAGCCTGGCTCTGCACTATTTCTGATACCTGCTCAAAAGAGAAGTCTCAGAAATGCAGAGGATCCCTGAATGAGGACCCCCAAGGGCGAGGGAGGTGAGGAAGACTGATGGCATTACGGGGTAGGTGGAGGGGATGGGAGGGCACTAAGCCAAGAGGGTGAGGGAGGAAAAAGATTATGAATGACTTCTTCCCTTTAAATCTGAAACTCAAACCACAGTGCTGAAGCATATAAAGAAATCTTGCATTTCTGAAAATAGAGCCCGCAAAATCAACATTTTCTCACCCCAGGTGAAATTCATTGTATGGGAAAATACAGAAAAGATGTTTAAAGTGATAAATGAAGGGATGGCTTCTATTTTAAAAGAACAAAAACTTGTGAAGCCAGAAAAGGATATAAGATCAGAAAGAAGGAAATGTGAAAACAACAAATTAGCAGTTTGGGAAGTAAAATGTAGATACCAAAACTGCAAAGACAACTCAGCCGTAGGGGGAATTTGGAAACTAAGTTTTAGCCTCTGCATAGGAGACGCTATTCTGCACCTAAGAATGTGAAATTTGAGCCATATTTCATGCCATATACAAAAACCAAATCGAAATGGATGTTCCTAATGTGAAAGACAAAACGATAAAACTTATAGAAGAAAACATGGGAGGAAATCTTGGTGAGCCTTGAGTTGGGCAAAGATTGTTCATATACAAGGTTAAAAACATCAGAGAAATATTTATAAATTAAACAGATAACTGTATTACATCAAAAGTAAGAACTTCTCTCTAAAAGACACTATTAAGAGTACGTAAAGACAAGCCACAGGTTGGAGACAAATATTTATAAATTATTAATTGAAACAGAAAAGTATTTGTACATGGGTATATAACAAATTCTCAAAACTCATTAGCAAGGAAACAACAATAAACTTTACCAGAATGGATAAAAGATTTGAATAGGTACTTTACCAAGGAAGGCGTATGGATGGCAAATGAGCACATGGAAAGATGTTCAAAATCATTACTTGTCGAGAAAAGTCAGTGAGGCAAATTAGGACCTCAAGGAGATACCCTACTTACCTAGTAGAACAGTTAAAATGAAAAAGATGGGCCATACCAAGTGTTGTTGAGAACGTGGAGGAACTAGAACTCTCTTACGCGGAGAGTAAAACTGCATTTTGGAAAACTCACAGTTTCTTAAGTAGTTAAACATACACTTATCATATGATCCAGCCATTCTAGGTGTTTTCCAAGAGAAATGAAAGCATATGGCCCTATAGGACACGTACATGAATTTTCACGGGAATGGCAAAGGTAATAGCACCGACCCAAGTGTCCATCGGCAGATGAATGGATAACAATTTGTGGCACATCCATACAGTGAAATACTATTCAGCAACAAAAAAGAACGAGCTACTGATGCATGCAACAACTTGGATGAGTCTCAGTAGATTAATGGTGGGGGAAAGAAGCCAGACAGAAAATAGTATGTACTACGTGAACACATTCATGTGGCAGTTTAGAAACAACACTTTCTTTTTTTTCTTTTTTTAAAAGATTTAATTAATTTATTTGTCAGAGAGAGTACAAGCAGTGAGAGCAGCAGGCAGAGGGGGAAGCAGGCTCCCTGCTGAGCAAGGAGCCCGATGTGGGGCTTGATCCCAGGACCCTGAGATCATGGCCTGAGCTGAAGGCAGACGCTTAACTGACTGAGCCACCCAGGTGCCCCTAGAAACATACTTTCTAATTATCTACAGTGACAGAAGACAAATCAGTGGTTGGCTAGGGACAAGTGACAGAGCATGGGCTGGGGCGGAGCCGGGGGTGGGATAGGATGAATTACCAAGGGCAGGAGGAAAATGGAAGCACGATCTCTGTGTTCATTATCTTATGGGTTTACACATATCTGGAAACCAGATTTGTCCTTTAAATATATACAGGTTGTTGTATGTTAATTATATCTCAACAAAGCTGTTTATAAGACAACTGTATATTTATGTAACGGAACAGTCTTCAAAACTCAGAATTAATGAACTAGGGTGATACATATCTATATGGACAAATAAAAAAAAAAAACAAGCTTTACAGTGCTTTGCATGGAGTGAGACTTGTTACACAAAATTCGATAAACTATAAAAAATATCCCATCAGTGTTTTGACCCGCATACATACTTGGGAGTGATACGCCCTGAATTCAAAAAGGTGTTTTCCTCTGGAGAAGGACTTGAATGAAATTAGGGACAGACACACAGGGCTTCCATGCTATCAATAATATTTTTCCTCCTTCTGAGAAATCTTTTATGTTAATATGATGAAAATTTTGAGATTTGATAAAGCTGGGACTATGCATAGGGAAATTCATCATATTACTTTAAAAATCATCTGTGTGTTTGAAATTGACCACTTTTTGAGAAGTACACACTTGCTTGAGGACGTTCTCTCAGAAGGCAGTCTTAGAAAGCAAACGTTACTTGGGAAAGATGAGGCCCAGTTTGGCTTTCTTGTGAGTTAACCGATTTGGTGCATCACTGAAGGCTAGGGGATCCCAAACCTCGGAATTCACAGTGACTGAGTCCCTGGCCAGGGCATGCGGTATCAGAGATACATTGCGAAGAAGACAAGAGCGTGAGTACCAGCGCGCTGGGAAGCAGAGGTGCTGGGCAGAGAAGGCCAAGTATGGACTTGGTGCCTGGTGAGGGCGCCCAGGCTGGTGTCTGTGTGGTCTTGAGGACGCTGAATCCAGAGAAGGGACCATGGGGCCCTCTCACAGGCACTTGCAAGTGGGGAGTTGGAAGAAGAACTGGCGGGACCATGGGGATCACGCTGTGAATTTCATTCACCTCGTGACCTCGGCCGCCATGTGTCTCTGGCATGGATCACGAGGCCATTAGACCCGATGGAAACAGACTCACCACAAATCCTCCAGCTGGGGGCTTGCCAGGTGGGCAGGGTTGGGACCCATGGGTACATACTGGTAATGCTTGCTCTCAGACCATTGTGCAGTCTTCGAAAGAAAGAGCTCAGCAGCCTTTCTCCTTGGAGGGACTGGAGAGTCTCAAGCCATGAGACTCCCTGGGAAAAAATTGTCTTATCTCTTTGGTAGTAGGAGATAAATTTCATGTCAACACACGAAAAGCAGGCCACAGACTCCAGACTGAGTAAATTACGTGTTTTATGTTCAGACACAGATTGATGGTAGAAGGCCGCAGCCACAGAGAGAAAGGGTCCCTTCTCTTCGCTGCTTTTATGTACTCTAAATCTCCAAAATGTAAGATAATTAACTGGACTACATGGTCGGGCTTTTCTAGAGCCTTATAGAAACGCCAAGTCAGACCTCATTGGCAATGCCGAGACTTGTGATAACCGAGGCTCAGTTGTTAGGACATGACGATTTGGTGCTGGGAATCCTACAATGTATATAAAGGCCATATATTAAAAGCATTTAAAATGCATTTAAAGAAAAGTGAAGGGCTGCTTTTTAAAGCATGTTCAAGGTATAATAAACAGCAAATAAATCGGTATATTTGGCCCATGTCCTCACTGAAAGGAGATTCAACTGGCAGGCTAGTTCCATGATGAGTATGGAGCGAATTCCTGAAATTACAACGTGCAACCAACACTTCCCAAAGGAACAAAAGAACAGGGCCGACTTGGAAAAATGACCCCTGTGATAATGACACATACATATAAAGAATCTTCTTACGTGTCAGTATCCAGTGTTTCTTTTCAAATATCAAGTTTTATTCATCTTGTCAGACTTTTAAAATAGTATATAAAAAAGTGTTTTCTAAGGATGAAATTAGTATTTCGCTAAATGCTTGGTGTCTGATTTTGAAGTGTCGTAGCAAGTAGGGTAGCGTGTCCCGGAGTGTGGTTCAGATTAGGGCCGTTTGATCAGAATCACGGAGGTTGGCAAGCTTCTTCTGTAAAGAAGAGAGGTGTCTGTTGTAGTATGAAAGCAGCCATAGATGAGTCATAAATGAGTGACTGTTTCAGCATGCCAATAAAACTTTATTGACACGGGCAGAGGTGTGCTGAATACAGCGTACAGACCATAGTTTGTGAACACCTGATTTAGAGTAGTGTTTTTCTTTTTCTTTTCTTTTCTTTTTTAATCGAAGCCCCCAGGAGAAAATAGAGAGGACATGAAATCCAGCACGCACGCATACGAAAAGTTTTTGCAAAACTGAATTTGCCTTCTCTATCGGGAATGCACTCTGCTACTTTCTTCGCTCCTCTCCTCTCCTCTTCTGTTTAGTTTTTCCATGCTCGTCCTGACCACTGACCCAGCACCTGCAGCTCTTTGGCCGCTGAGATGCAGTTTCGAGCCTCTCTGCCGATGACAACTCTTTAGAGGATATGGCGAGTGAGCCCAGATATCTCTAAGTGTCTCTTCTCCAAAGATTCCTCCTGATTCCTGTGCACACCATTTTGAAAAGCTGTGATCTGGCGTGTGAAGTGGAACTGTACACTTGAACTAAAATTAAAATGATGCTAACGGTTGTTTTTCTGTAAAGCATCCTCCGTTTTCAAAGGAGCCTCTTCATTTTGGCTTGCTTCAGCTTAACACATGACTTAGGGCTGTTGTTTGGCTTCGTTTTTTATCTTTTCCTCTTGATGCCACTTTTAATTTCCAATGTCATGGTAGAATAAAAGAAGGAAGAAAATAGAATTCAAGCGTTGGTGCCTGTGGGATCACAGATAGGCATACCAAAAGGGTAAGTGACCAACAGAGCTGTTCTAAAGGAAGATTTGGACCTTGTATTTCTTTCGTTAGAATTGTATTAAACATCTTTAATTCCGTTGTATGCTTCAGTATTTCATTCCCTTGGTTTGTTGGGGACTCTAAGTTATTCTCCTTCCTCTGCTGGATGTGTTCTAACATCTTGAATTGGACTCTAGGCCTTTCTCAGCTTTACCTCTGGATGTAACCATGTTAAATGCTAGATTCAATTCGGTGTCAAAAAAGTGTTCTTTCATTCAACTAATGAACACAGTTCATCTGCTGCAGTTGGTCGCTGTAATTATAATGAGTTAAGTCTTTTACCAGCCTTAATCTCATAGGCTGTTTGCTCCAAGGTTTTGACACTTCCTATCTCTCTCTCTCCTTTGAGGAATTTTTCTCACTCTTGCCCGAAATCTTGCGGCTGCTGCCTCCCAGTGCAGCATGAATTTCCTTTGTTTGCTGCAGTACAACCTAGCTGGAATCAGATGTTCCATACAGGCCTCAAGTTCTGACATCTCCTTCCTTCCTTTTCTTCGATTAAAGTTGCACGGGGATGATAATGATGACTTGGAGAAAGAAGGAATTTCTTGGAGTTAGCAGGAATTCTGGAGGGACCCGGAGCCACCCTTGTCTGCAAGACAGATTAACTGGCCTCCTCCCTACCCTTTCACCCAGGGCTGTTTTCCATTCCGGAATGATCCTGAAGCCGGCCAAGACCTGTCCCAGGCTGTGTGGATGGGCCATTGGGCACACGGCAATTCCAATTAGCAGTCTAATTTTGACTTGGCTTCCGGCCAGAGGGCTTCATCTCCCGGCACATTTCAGACACCGGAGCGAATGGTCAAGTGGGTTACCGTGCACTTATCTTGGCCTACCCCCGAGGTCACGGTCAATTACGTCGGAGGGTCGTTTTCAAGCAAGACAGAATCAGGAATTGGAGTGGCGGTTGGAACCAAACGCATTTTTATCCCGACTGGGAAATGCTTATCAAAATAGTTCTTAGTTATCAAGTAAGCACAAAGTGCCTGGAAATGACGTTCCCAGTGAGGGGAAATGGCCCAGCTGTGCTTTTTTTGGCTTTCTCTCATCTGCTCAACAGGAAAAATATTAATCAATGGAAAAAAACACTCTCTTTCTGTTAATTTAACACATGAGTTTTAGATCGTGTGGGAAATAGTAATACCTCATGTTTTCCCATCACGGTTTTATGATGCGGATCACAAAGACCTTTTTAGAAAATGGTCCTTGCTTAAGCCATTTGCACCTACCGGGATGTCTTAGTTTCTTGACGGCCCAGCCAAAAACCCGAGATAGAGAAGGTCCCAGCAGTCACTGCCATCTTCTAGTGATTGAGTGGAATGGCGAGGGAAGAGGTCTGGTGACCCTTGCAACTTGCCATTAGGCAGCACCTTTTTTCCCCATCAACAAGGAAGCAATTCACAATAGAGTATTTTCTCATAAAACAAATTAGCGACACTTCTCCAAGGAGATTGAGACTATCCAAGCCAGGAGTCCCGTACCTGGGATTCCCGTAGTTCTCTGCCCGCTCTCGGATGTTTATCGAAGGACAACTTTCCATGCAGCGGGACGCACATATCCAGAAGCGTCCAGCCCGGTGCGCGTTCCCTCGGCGAGCCCACCCACCTAACCGTCTCCGTGCCTCTTTTCAAGGTGATGAGGCTTCGCAAACTGGCTCAGCAGATTGCGAACTGCAAACAGTGCATCGAGCGGTCGGCCTCCCTCATCTCCCAGGCGGAGCACTCTCTGAAGGAGAACGATCACGCGCGTTTCCTGCAGACGGCCAAGAGCATCACCGAGAGGTGAGTTGTGGGGGCTGCCGGGAAGTTCTCAGCCGCTGGCCTCCTGTGTCTGCGGAGTGATTGCTTGGCCTTGCCCTCGCCTTGCTTTTGTTTTCATTTTGGAGGCTGAGTACCAGGGAGAATAGAGCCTTTGAGTTGCTTTGTTCCAGCCAAAGATGCGTCCCTTTGACATGGCAAAGCCTTTTCAGTAGCGCCCTGGAGTTCAAGGCCTTTGAAACAAGAGTCCACCAGTTAGAGAGAATAAAATCAGCCTTGCTTTGGGTAGGGGGCGTGGGGGGGTGGTGGGGGGCAGGGGAGAAAGCTTACAGTGGCACAGAAATGGCAATTATTGTGAATCTCAGCCCTGATCTTATCATGCACTTGGTAACAAAGAGTCAAACTGAAGGCACCGACATGAAAGGGAATCTTTTCTTCCATCTCAGGGCTCCTCTGTTAAAAAGGAGAAGGAAAAAAAGCCAAGGCCCAGGTGTTGTGCTCTGTTAGACCTGTGTTTATTTGGTTGAAAAGCTTTGCTCGTCAGAAAGGTCAAAGCTGACTCATGTGGGAGAGAAAGGACCCAACTGTCAGTCTCATACCTCTTTCTTTTAAAGGATCCTTTATTCTGGGGTAGGGAACCTAAAGATAACATTATTCCATTGGTCAGTTCAGCAGTGAAACTGATGGGAGTCCGTGTTTCTTCGCTGCCCGTCCCGATTGGCATAAACTCCACCGAAATGGTACCTCCAACCCCTGCCGATGCCCTTGACTTTTCATTCATTCTCATTTTCGGAGTCACCTGCCCCTTACGCAAAGCAATAATAGAACGCTATCACCGGACAACCCCGGACAGTTCATTCATGCTGGTGTTTATCCTAGAGCAGAAGTCTGCACGCTTTGATAAAGGGCCAGAGACGAAATATTTTCAGCTCTGCAGGTGATAAGGTCTCCTTCACAACTACTCAGCTCTGCCATGGTAACTCCATAGCGCCCTGTCATACACAGAAAAGATCGGGCGTGCCTGGGCTTCCAGAAACATTTCCCCCAACAGGTATTTCGCCCTCTGGCTGTATTTTGTCAACGCCTGACCCAGGGGGAAAAAATACTCACCATCTTCTCACTTGCATTTCTTCAAAGAAAGAGAGAACTAACATTAATCGAGTGCGTGCTTGTGTTAGACACCGTGCTAATTCTCAAAATAGCGCTTAGAGGTAGTCATTGACATTTCTGTTTCTACTGTTCTCTTAGTTAGAGCAATGTACAGCGGTTTTATACCTCGGGCCCTGTATCGAGCCAGCTTCATTGTGTTATTTCTTATATTTGAGAAAAACTCTTCCGCGACTGGTTACGATGGTTACGATACTTAATGTCTTCCAAAGCACGTGGCTCACAGCTGCTTATCATCGCTTTTATATCCTTAAAATGATCGCCTCCCTACCTTAAGAGAAGCCGGTGTCTTTGCTCATGACTCCTGGTTTCCCAGTGTTTGTCTTTGTGGCGCCCATCTGGACTGTATCCAGTTGCTCTGTGTTCATCCTAAGGTTAAAAACTGCAAATGGCGCTAATACTCCCGTGTACCTAGGCCACTCTGCTAGACCCTGTTTACACTTACGTCATGCTTTCCAACTGGGATCCAAGAGCGCTCTTCTCCAGCTACGAATCATGAGGTGTCCAGATGAAAGGGCTACTGTGAGCTGCATTTCTCAGTAATCCCTAAAAATTTCATCAAGTGTAATACGAACAGACTCTTCGCTATTGAGGGGAGAGAATGTGGCCCCATAACAGTTGGGATAGAACATTCTGGAAGAAGACCTACCTTTGAAATAAAATGTGAGTGCATGAATGTCTACATGTGATCTTCCACAGATCCGGCAGGTCATAACCTGTCCCATTCACTTCTACCTATAACAAGCCCATCTCTTCAAGAACAGAAAGATGACTTTGATTTTTTCTTTCTACAGATGAATTGTAGAATACAGTTGACCCTTGACTAGCATGGGTTTGAACTGCTCAGGTCCACTTATACATGGATTTAAAAAATATATAGTGCAGTACTGTAAATGTATTTTCTCAATAATATTTTCCATAATAAGATTTCTTAATATTTCTAGTAATATTTTCTTTTCCCTAGCTTACTTTATTGTAAGAATGCAGAGTATAATACATATAACATACAAAAGTTGTGTTAATCGACACTTTATGTCATCAGTGAGGCTTCTGGTCACCAGTAGGCTCTTAGTAATTAAGTTTGTGGGAATCAAAAGTCACACATGGATTTTCCCCTGAGTGGGGGTTCCCTAATCCCCACACTGTTCAGGGGTCAACTGTATGGTATATTCTCAAGCCTCACTAATATATAGTTCTTGGTGTGATTGTATGTGTACTTTTATAAAATCGTTTTAAATAAGCAAAACTATTCACTGAACCCAGACATAAGGAAGTCAGCCTCCTGCTTATGAGAAAGCTAAATTTCCAGCAGATTTGAAGACGTGGTGCCTATAACCATTGGCCAAGAACCTTTGTCCTTCTGCTCCTACGGCCCCTCTCTTCCCATGTCCATTGTCCATCCTCTTGGTCAATTCCTGAGCCTTCCTCTCTTTCCAGGACCGGAATGTAGTGAAGGGGCAGGGAGCTTGGACCAGGACCTGGGGAACTGGGCTGGGATCCCAGCACTGCCACTTTTTAACTGTGATGCTTTGGGTTTGCCTGTGAGCTGTTTTCTGCGGAGAGTGTTGGGCTCAAAGGGGCACCCTGCTGGCACAATCAGATAAGCATCTGACTTGGCTCACATCATGATCTAGGGTCCTGGGATGGAGCCTGCATGGAAGCTATGCTCAGCGGGGAGTCTGCTTCTCCCTCTCTCTCTCCCCCTTCCCCTGCTCATGCATTCCCCCTCTCCCTCCCTCTCTCTCAAATTAAGAAATAAAACCTTTTTTTAAAAAAGAGGGGTAAAAAAGAAAATTGGGCTCATAATAACTGCTTCGATCAGTAGTTGTAATACTGTTGCTGATAACTCCTAAGAACAGAACTTCAGCATCGCAGATAATCCATAATGTCTGTTGGATTTAAGTTCTCGTAGTTTAGTATGTGAGTAGGGCCCCGCCTCGTATGTTCTGGGGCTGGTCTCTGCCTGTCTCTACCCTTCAATCCTTTTCATAGTAAACATTCTTCTCTAGGACATGACTTTGTAATTCTCTGCCTCCTACTGTGTCTGCCTTGGGCTTTGGCACCTGTGTACTTCTAAACCATCTTTATTCTTCTGTTCGAGGAGGGAAAGCCCGGAACAAACTTTCAGTCCTGTAGGCCTTCCTAAAGTGAGACTTGGATGGGATTTTTCTGTATCTTAGAATCACTTAAAGTAGGTATGTTCCTCTACAGTGTGAATCTAACTGCAAAAAGATGTTCGATTCAGACATATTAAAAAAAAAAAAAAAAAGAAAACCAAACCCAAAGGAGAGAGACCATCAAGCTTTACATTGTAGGAGATGCATATGCTTTGGAGTCAAGTGTCTGGCTCTGTGCTAATTGCTTAGGAGTACTTACGGCCAGCACTGGGGCTGCTCCTTTAACACTTGGGAGTCTAATTTCGCTCATACACTCCTAGCGGGCAGAACCCCCAGCCACCTTGTTTTCACCATGAAAGTGCCGGCACATAGCAAACTGCCTGCCATAAATGAATGAGTGAACAAATCATAAAACATGTCGATTGTTCCTACCTAAGATGGTTGTTATAGGGACAAAATGAAATAATACGGTAAAACCGTTAGTCCGATTCCTGTCCCAAGGTGATCATGCAACAAATGCTAATTCCCTTCCTTCCCACTCACTAAATTGACACAAATGGAGTGCGTAACACACTATATTCCCAAGTCACACTAATACATTGGTCTTCTGCATGGTTGTGTGGTTATCTTTATACAACTACCTTAAGGAAGCCAAACTCTTCACTAAATCAAAGCATAAGAAAGTTGGTTATGAGAAATCTGAACTTAAAATCACTTTTAGTACCCAGTTATCAAGATGGTAAAAAGAAACTTCCCTCCAAACGGTACCCATTTTTCAGAGCTCCTAGGAGGGTGTCCGACTGCACCGTCCTACAACACCATAAGCAGTTCAAGCATCCATCAGACTTGCCCCGGATATAAAACCAAGACCTCCAGTTGTCGACGCTGGAGAGATGTCACTTGATTTTAAGACTTCAAGCACATATGATGAGTGGTTTTTGAAGTGTGTTCTGGTAGGGTGTTAATTGGTGTTAAAACAACAACAAAGTTCCAGAGCCGAATGCATCTGGGAAATCCTGAGCAGACCAAAGCAAACCGCGTTTTGCTGCTGTGAGACCTCACTGGGTTTTACCGTGGTGATTTGCCCATTCGCCCAAGAGATACCCATTTACGTGCCATTGTCAAGGGTCGGGCATGGGGAGAAGGATATTGGGCAGGAAGGATAGAACATCTTCCCCTGGCATTGGCTGTTTGAGAGAAAGCCTGTGAGCCACATAGCTCCAGACACGTCCGTCTTCTAGAAAATTGCCTCCAAGTGGCCCTAGCAAACTGTCACGGAGATTAGGAGCATCGAAGTCAAAACAGAAACAGGAAGTAATGTGCAGGCCACCCCCTTAAGCATCAGGATAGGACACATGTCCTTATTTGCCTCAGTATGATAAGAGCTTAACACACACCCACAAGCATGAGCGCACATGCGAATATACGTACACACACACAGACTCACAAAACTATGAAAGCACAGAATTTCAAAAGTGGCCTAAGGCTGATGGCCCTGGTGGATTTTGGCAACTCATCTGAAAGGCCAGAAGATGGGCAACAAGGATTTGGGGAATAAAAACAAGGCCTAAAATGTTGAATTTGGCAGATCTGCCCTCGCCTGTCACTCCAATTACGAATTTGAAATTGTAGCCAAAGATAAATATCTCTCCTTCCATCAAAAAACTGTGTAGGTGTTAAAAGCAGCAGTAATCCGCCCAGATTCTGCTGTCAGTCTTGGCCTCCCAGGCTTAGGGACTTTCAGCCCTTCCGTTCCCACTCCACAAAGTTCCCACCAGCGACATGGCAGGCATTGCCATTTTTTTTTTTAACACTGTCACTTGCCCGAACCACGTTTTAGTTAACTGTGGACCATAGAACCAGGAGAAACTTGGGAGTAAAATCTGTTTGGGGTGGACCTGAACAGAAGCTTCTGTCCCTGGACAGCAGAGCGCTAAAGCGAGATTGTCTGCTCAGAGCGCCTGGGATCCTCTCAGCCCAAGATCTGAGCCACACAACAAAGACAGAGAAATGCGACAGAGAGACGCCCGTTTCTTAATAGCTCGGTGCAGTTTTCCCTGCTGGACATCATGAAACATTCTAATTGGGGGTTCACTTTGAAATTTTTATTTGGGGAGTTCACATGGCGCTATAGCATTTCTTTTAACTTCTCTGCACTGACGCAAATATTGCGGGCTCTTCAGTACATGTGGGCCTGCTTTAAGAGCTCCGTATGTATTTGCTGAGTGATCCCAGGATCGCTCTGAGTTCTGAGGAGATTTGTGATTATGGGTCATAAGGAAGGCATTTTTTAAGTACAGTTTGACTACGTGTGAAAAACGCCTAATAACCATGCCTTTATCCATCAGTCTAAATTAGCAGGTGTTTGTCACGATAATTAGCCCATTCCCGTTGGGTGCGCTCTTTAGCCAACAAAATCCCACATCTCTGCTATTCACTGTTTCTTTTTTTTTTTTTCTTTTTAAAAGATTTTGTTTATCTGAGAGAGAGGGCATGCACAAGCAGATGGAGCGGCAGGCAGAGGGGAAGCAGGCTCCGTGCTGAGCAAGGAGCCTGATGTGGGACTCGATCCCAGGACCCTGAGATCATGACCTGAGCCAAAGGCAGACACCACTTAACTGACTGAGGCCCCTAGGCGTCCCAGCTATTCACTGTTCCTCGGTGAAACAGGTGGTGAATTTAGATTCTCCACCCTCAATCAAACACTTGAAACGTTTCTTTCCAGAGTCTCTGCCTCTTCAAACTTTTTATCAGTGGATCCCAGTATCATCCTGGTTATTACATTATTAATTATCCTGTCTACCACCCTCCCGACACAGAACTGGAAATGTATCAGAATCATAATTCTAGAAACTTTGTTTCTAAGGATTTTGAGCACTTCACAGGTGTAACATATACTGAGGTGAAATTCGGAGAACATGAAATTAACCATTTTAATGTGTGCGATCTGTCGTATTTGGTATATTCATGATATTGTGCAATAAGAGTTCCAAAATCTTTTTATTACCCCCCCAAAACTCCATACCCATTGTGCAGTCATCATCCACTGTGCGCCCCCACCCGCCACTGCCAGTCTGCTGTCTCTGGGAATTTGCCTGTTCTGGACATTTCCTACAAATAGATCATACAATACACGGCCTTTTGCATCAGACTTCTTTCACTTAGCGTTAACACTTTCAAGGTTCATCCACACTGTTGTGTCTATCAGTACTTCAGTCCTTTTTACACATGAACAATATTCCATTGTATGAATAGACCCGCAAGTATAATTTCTTTAGCCAAAATACATCATCTTTATAAGATACAGTTTTAAGAGCCATTCAGAGACCCAAGAGGAGATAGATCTCCTTAGGTAACCAGGCTGAAATTTTTCTAGATTAAATGGAAGAATTTACACCTAGAATTCTCTTCCTGGCTAGCTAGGTAGTTTCCTAGGCTAGCTCTTCCTGGCTAGCTTCTAGCTAGCTTTGTAACTTTCTATAAATGAGCACCAGCACTCTTAATGAGAAAATAACTAGATTTAGAGATGAACCATTTCAGAGTATTTCTTTGCTCACCGAGTCCCAGCACCCTACACAGCACTCTGCATGTAGTTGGCCCTTGGTGGTGTTTACCGAACTTCCTGAAATACCCAGATCAGCAAGATCACGGGTCTAGCATGGTCTGAGACGCTCACACATGGTTTACGTCATGCCGCAACTGTATCATTTTTAAGAGGATCGCTTGCATTTTTAATTAGTTCAAACATTCTGCTATTGGCAACTGAACTTTGCAAATCAACCTGAGGGATTAACACACACATAGCACAAGATTCTCTTCTAGCAGGAGCGTCGTACTCACCAATACGTTGCTTTATAGTTTACAAATGAGAACGCTTCACTAGCAACCGTAAATGAAGAGGGGAAATGGGGCATCCATGGGAGGAATTTGTGAGGGAGCTCGTGAATATTTTCCATGGCATCTGTTGGGAATATGGTGCAAAAAAAAAAAAAAAAAGAATACAAGAAGAACGAAACAAGCCAGACAAAAACTCCTTTTTAAATGTTTATTTTAGAGAGAAGCTAGTAATTGATTAAACTAATCCAATATCTGGAAACATTCTTTTTTAATCTTCACTTTGCCTTTTATGCAGTTTGAAATTTTGGAGACTCCTCTTTGAAGTGGAGCAGGGTCGGGTCTGAAAGGAACAAACAGTTTCCCAGACAGATGTGTGAAGAAATGCCCGGAGCTATGTGCTTCTTGCTGGGGTTAGATGTGAAGGGGGCCAGGCTGTTAAATACACAGCAACATGAGATATGAATATTCTTCCACCTCCGTGGGGAGTTTTTTTCCGACAGTAAAAAGGAAGGCAGGCGGTGTGAGGGGGGAGCCATTCTACTGTTTCCCCAGTTCCTTTGCCTCGTCTTTAAGCTCGATCGTTTGCATTGTGTTGGCTGTGTTGTGCCGTTCCCAGGTTCTCTTTGAACCTGTAAAACGTGTAAAAACAGCCCCATTTTAAAACGATCCTTCTTTTCCTTTTATTTTTTTTCATTCCCAGGCAGTGACGGTGACAGGCATCTTGACATTTCTAAAAAGTTGTTTTGTTTAAATTACAGAGTCTCCATGGCAACTGCATCCTCCCAGGTCCTAATTCCTGAAATCAACCTCAATGACACATTTGACACCTTTGCCTTAGATTTTTCCCGAGAGAAGAAATTGCTAGAATGTCTGGATTACCTTACAGGTATTGTCGTGTGTGTGTGTGTGTGTGTGTGTGTGTGTGCGCGTGCGCGTGTGTGTGTGTGTTTGCGCCCGCGCGTGCATGCGCGCTTTAATATTGTGCGTGCGCTTTGATATCGTGTACAATCGGTGATACACATACTTTGCCACCACATCGATTCCCTCAAAACCAGAGGTGTGGGCTCCTGATTTAGGAATGGAGTCTAATATTCCCCTAAATGATTTCTGGCATGCTTTTTTTTTTGTTTCCCCACCCAAAACGACACGGTCCGAGACCAAATTGGGGACAGAGGAAAAAGGCAAATCTCGAGAATTAAACACGTACTTCCTGCCATTTTCTCTCCCTCTCAGAGTGTGGGTGTCACAAAGAGCAACTCTGCTGGCCATCACAGAGTCGCGTAAGGTAGCGGGGCTGTTTTCCACTTCATCTCAGCAAGGCTTCGGACTCTCACGGTGTCTTGGCACAGACACAGTTGGCAGCTAACTCTTGGTTGAGTGTCTACCTTGCTTCAGCTCTTTGTATCTGAGATCTGGCATGATCTTAGCATGTTATAATCCTCATTTTTCCCATGACAGGGGTCACCCATCTCGCTGGAGGTCAGGTAGCTCGCGAGTGGCAGAATTAGAATTTGGCTTGGGTCCTTACGGACTCCAAAGACCTCTTGTTCTTTCTGGTAAAAGACCGCATTTCATCTTGGCAAAAGGTCACCACAGCAAATGTCCCAAAAATCGCATGTGAATTCCCAGTGCCATCATTCTGATAGACAGTTTTTATGGCAGGGGGTGGGGGGCTGTCAAACTTACAAAAGAAAAGGAACAGCAATAAAAGAAAACCTCAGGCTACTCCTGTTCCTAACCATGCTTCCAAATGTTTCTTCGCCGTTGACCTCGAAAGTGAGGACTGAAATCATTTGCTGGTAGAATGCGGATTGTTTAAAGGACCTTTATTTGTGTTAGCCAAAGCCACTGGTGCCTAGGACTTCTGGAAGGCTCCGTGTATACAGTGAAGCCAGATGTGCGTGGACCTGAGGACATGCAGCCTTCGAGAGACCACGTCCCTAACTCAGCATGGCGTCAGCTTCCGCATTTCGGTTCTGCACGCGTGCGTGTGGGAGAGCGGTTGGGAAAGATGGAGCAGGAGAAAGGGAACATTGTGTGATGTTCGCTTTCACAGTCTATGGATCAAAAATGAGCAGTTTTATATCCAAGGGGTGTTATGCCCAGATAGGTTTTTTTTTTCTTTGCAAGAATCCGAGATGCTGTTTTTAGCCTTTCTGCATTTGCAAGCAAAGTGTTCATCCCACCAACTTATCTTATGTCATTCTTTCAAACCACACCACTCTTATTAAGGAAGAAAAAAGGTGACTCCACAGTGCATTTGCAGTAAGGAACCAAACTCGGTTTCAAATATTTATTCATATACTGCCCCCCTTTTTAAGCTTTTAACTCTGAGATCTGTCTAAACTAACGCTACCCCCCTAGAACCTGCCACAAGGATAGAAACATTCTATATCGGCACTGTCCGTTTTGGTAGCTGCTGTCCACATGGGGCTATCAGAAACTTGAAATGTAATGGTGAGTCTTTACCTTCATTGAAATTTAATTAAACTTAATAGAAGTTTAAACAGCTTGTGGCTACTGTATTAGGCAGCACAGGTCTAGATTTTCTCTGGCTGAGCGGTTTTTCATGATGGCATCCTATGAAAAGTCTTTTTTTTTTCTTGCGTCATTTGGAATTGAGTAGGATGGCAGCAACAGAAAATCCGGTTAGCAGTAACTAAACCCATCAAGCGGTGTTTGTATCCTGCAAACCCGGGCATGGAGATGTGTGCTCCAAGCCTGGGCCACAGCTCAGTGAGGACCGCAGACCCCAGGCTCTTGCTTTCTCCTGCTCTGCCTTTTTGCCACACACAGCACAGCTGCCCCGCCTCCACGCATCGTGCTCAAGTTACAGGTGAAAAGAGACGGATGCAGGGGAAACGGGGACAAAATTCTGTCCTTGTTTATTAGGAAAACAAAAAGCTTGCTTAGAAGGCCCACCTGGCAAACTCCCACTTGTGTCTCGGGGGCCGGATCCACGTCACAAGGTCATGCCCAAGGATAAAGAGGACTGAAAGACTGTTGGGCCGGGCACATGACCTTTCTGTACAAAATCAATGTCTTGCTGACCTGAGTGTGTCCTCCCCGTTGCCCAGTCATCGTTTAATGGTGTTCGGTGGGCGTCCACTCATTGGCTCCGTCTCCATGCGAATGCCAAGGCAGTGATTAAAGGGGAAGGCGAGGAAGTCGTTTGCACCGACTAGGACTGTGTACCCCATATATCATCCCGATCGCTGTTTATGCCAAGCTAGAGACCACATGGGGTACCTGCCATTCTGCCTTCTTAGCTGTCAAACCTCAAATACAAATCTGGCCCATTTCTAGACATAACATCGATCCTGGCCATAACATATGATGCTTGGCTGATATTGCCAAGTCCAAATAGTTTATCAGACATTTGTAAGCAGGAAATGAAGTGTTTGTGGAGTATTAGCCCACCATTTCTCGTGTCCTGTTTATAACAGAGGCAAGAAAATAACAGTTCTGCCACCAGTCCCATGAATGTTGAAATTGGCATGCTGCTATCCTCACTTACAGTAAATTGCGTATTGACTTTTCGGGACAAACCCATTGGGCTTATAATCAAAACAGGGTTAGCCTGCGTGGCTGTGAAAACAAGATGATTTTTTTCCCTCTGTGACATGCCTCTAAGTGGTATGTCAAGTTAATAACCCAGAGAGGTGACATTTCCTCCCCGATCACAGCTACTTGCTTATTTTGAACCCAAGTTTGCTTTCTACTTAATCCTCTATTGCAATACAGAAGAGACACCATCTTTTCTACGGTGGTTGATGGAAAAGTAATTCAGTGAGCTATTTAGATTATGGGAGAATAAGCATTTCTCCACCACTCCCTGCCGGGTGATCGCACAGCGACAGCGGCCACACAGACGATCCTACGGAGTTTTACGGAGCAGCTGGGCCTCCTCCGGTTCGGTGTCCCTGACTCCTGCACAACCAAGTCACAGCAGACGACACTAAATCTTGCATGCGGATATACTTCAGGAGAGAGACGTATAAATACACATTCCAGAAAGAATGCTTTAAGGGCTCTATGGAGCCTTTCTGTCTTAACCCATGACTTAATGTGTTGCCGGCCCACATGCACAGGTGTGTAGTCATGTTGGTGGAACTCAGTGAGCAAGAGACCAAGCTGCCCTAATTGACTTTATGCAACAAACATAGAAGTTGGACAAAATGAAGCCTAAAACAATTCGAGTTCTCAAGTTGCCTTTTTTTACAAACTCTTCTCCCTCTTTGGGTTTGTTTAGGACTCCTCGGGCCTAATCAAAATTTAGAGCAGGAAAGAGCTCTGCAATAGTGTGAACAGAGGTCTCTCCAAATCTATAGAATGCAGATATGTTTCTCCTTTTGAAGTTAGGTTCTAGTATACAGAAGACTGGAAATAAAGGCCTGGATCGATTCTCCAAACCAGGGATTGGCAAACTTTGACTATAAAGGGCCAGATGGTAAATATTTTAGGCTTTGCAGGACATATGGTCCCAACTACTCAACTCTGCCAGTGCACAAAAGCAGCCACAGACAATACATAAATGAATGAGCCTGGCTGTGTTCCAATAAAACTTTATTTACAAAAACAGGCAGTGGGCCAGATTTGGCCCATAGCCATAGTTTGCCAAGCCCCGCTCTGAAATATTATTGCCAGTGCAAAGCACACCCTGCTTATTCTTTTTCTTGCTCACAAACTCTTCTCATAAAACCAGTTACTGAAATCAAGCTGGTAGATTTTGAGTCAACTTCAAATCATTATTTTGCTAGGATTTAGACTTCTCTGCTCCAGACTGTGCTCGAAACATAAAACAGCAGCCTTCTCCAGTAATAAAGTTAACCAAATGCCAAGGAACCATGTTTTCTTGGGGAAGGAAAATGTACTTCTTAGATAGGATTGACTGTTAATCATGTTCTTCTTAATTTGAAATATCACCTATAAAACTGAAAGATGAGAGCAAAACAGGGCCACACTAATAAGGTGTTTTTTTTTAATAAGGCATCAAAACTTCTAATGAGAGAAAATCTTCAAACACTTATTTGGCTGGGTTTGTTATAGGATAACAAACATTGGTATTTTTCCAATCGGGTGTGTAAATATAAGAATACGTGACCTCACATAGCTCAGAGGTTGGCAAACCTTGCCTCGGAGGCCAAATCTAGCCCTAACCTCTCTTTGTCAATAAAGTTTTACTGGAACCTGCCCATGTCCATTTGAATACGAATCGCCCAAGGCTGCCTTCATAGTGCAGCAGCAGAGTTGAAAGGACAAAGAACAAAGAATGTATGGCCGGCAAAACCTAAACCATGTACACCTAGCTCTTTACTGGAAAAGTTTGCCATATCCCCAGTGTGGGTGAAATCATAGAAGTTCATCTTGTTTGCTTTTTGTTTAATATTTTTTTTCCATGGATAAGAGTATTATTTGCTTAACCTCCTAAACGTACTTTCATGATAAATAGAGGTAAGTCCCTACTTGCTGGCTGAAGTCACGCTACCCTTTAATGACAGCAGCGACCAGCCAACCAGACGTTGGTTCTTTGGATCGGGGTCACCACCTCTGAGCTAGTGGTCCTGATGGACCTGTGTAGAAAGGCCTGCTTTGACTGTCCCATGTCTCCTCCGAAATGTGTCCCGGAGGTGCCTGCTTTTTGGCTGATGAGCATTCTTGATCCCCCCTCCCCCCACAGCTCCCAACCCTCCTACAATTAGAGAAGAGCTCTGCACCGCTTCCTACGACACCATCACCGTTCACTGGACCTCCGATGATGAATTCAGCGTGGTTTCCTATGAGCTCCAGTACACCATATTCACCGGACAAGCCAATGTTGTTAGTGAGTATCGCGCCCCCTATCGATTTCTCTGTTTGGTGACTGTCTTCTGTTAGATGGCAATTCTAAATTGAAGCGTCAAGGTAAGACAAGGAAGGAAAGGATTCACAGTAGGTATTGGCTGCATTTCCTCACCAAGAGGATGATCGCATTCACTTGTACTATACCAGCAGAAATAACGGGCCAAAGAGTGATAAAAATTAGTGATCTCTAGCAGTCCACACGGATGAGTCTTACAAACATATACTTAAGAGAAGGAAGCTGGAAATAAAAGAATACATGCAGTAGGACTCTATTTATACATTCATAATTTAAAGATAAAAAGGAAAACCATTTTGTGGGGCGGGGGTGCCTGGGTGTCTCAGTAGGTTAAGTGTCCCGACTCTTGCTTTTGGCTCAGATCATGATCTCAGGGTCGTGGGATCAAGCCCTGCATTGAGGAAATGCAGGGCTCACTGGGGAATCTGCTTGAGATTCTCTCTCCCTGTGCCCCCCCACCCCGACTCGCACATGTGCATGCTCGCTCGCTCTCTCTCTCTCTCTCTCTCAAATACATAAATCTTAAAAAAAAAGTTTTTGTTTAGAGATGCATACATAGGTATAAAAACGATAAATAAAAGGGGGGATGATGGTTACTTCCGGGATGGGAGGGGAGTGGCACCACTGAGAATCAGTATACAGGGGCTCATGGGGTTAACTACTTTCTGGGTGGGAGTTACACGGTTTAGTGAGTTTATCCTACATTTAGTATTACGTACTTCTCTGAGTGTTATGTCACAACATAAAAAAAGAATTTAATAAAGTGGATAGCCGAACAATGCCCAATACCACATCCCATTTGGAGGAGAGCAGGCCCGTTGTTTAAAATGTTAGTCATTGGCCCCCACCTGGGAAGAATTTCAGACCTTACCTGAAACACAGAGAGACCCTTCTCTCCCTGGGGCCCATGAGCTCTCTGATATCAGAGACAGGTTGATGATCTCAGAGAACCCCAGTTGCTGGCCAGAGCGGTGGTAACAAAGCAATCTCGCCTCCCTACCCTACCCCTACGGTTACTCAAATTGAGTTGAGTAAATGGGAGAGGACCAGAAGATGTGGCTTTTCTGGGAAGCAAGTTTGAAACTTCTTTAGCAAATGGAAAGAGAACGTATCAAAGTAGAACAGAATAGAATAGAATAGCAGTCACTTTTCAACAAAGAAATGTTTTGAATAAATCCATATCAACTGAATGCTTTTATCACATACACCTCTTCTCCCTTAAGCACGCTGTTCTTTCCTAGCACAAGGAATTCTGAGGCACATGATGCTTAAAAAAGAAATTAAATTTAGGATTAATTAAAAGAGGGGGGAAAAAAAGAGGGATGCGTGAAGAACCCCGCCTCCAAGTAACTAGCATTGCCGGCTCATACCAACAAACAGACACCCCGGCCTCCTTAGGTCCTCATTTCCCAGGCTTCCTTCCTCAACCCTCTGACCTTCCACTCCCTAATTGGCCTGCCTTGGAAGCCTTTATTAAAATCTTACCATTTTCCAGGAATGCGTAAGGAGGAAAATAAATCATGAAATGTTGCTAACCACTGTGGCCAGCTGCCTGAGTAAGAAGGCAGACATGGTGGGTGAAAATGTCTTGGGGGAAATGATGGTTTAACTAAGTTTTGGAAGAGAGTGGGTACATATCAGCAAGCTAAGGGGAATGCCAGGCAGCCACATGATCGGGGGCAAACCTGTGGAGACGGAGAATGGCAAGGCATTTTCTGAGACATTCTCTACTCAAGCCTGGCTGGAGAATTGAGTGGGGAAGGGGAGATGGAGGGAAATGAAGATAGAGAAATAGAACCGGGACTCAAACCCATCTGGGTCTAGTTCCAGAAAGCACATGTTCTTAATCACCAGTCTCTTAATCCTCACCCACAGTAAAGACCTAGACCACAGAGGGCCACTCGGGCCACACGAAGTGGGATTTTTCCCCACACAGAGCAGCAGTGCGATCAGATATAGGGTTAGAAGCCCCCTCAGGCAGTGCTGTGGGGGATAGAGTGGAACAGGGCAAAACTGGAAGCAGAGACATGAACTTGGAGGTCTGTAGTAATTCACAGAGGCAGAGATGGCCAGGACCTGCCAATGGCAGTAGCGCCCACAAAGGTAAGGAGAAGATAAATTCCAGAAGAGACTTCTCCACCTCTGACCCATAGCTGTTGGAAGTGCTGTGGGGGGCAAGTCTAAACAGCACGGGCATATCAATGGTTCGCCATGGTTTGGCATCATTTTGCCCTCCTTTCAGGATTTTGGATTCTTCTGGTATTGCTCCTCATCCCTAGTTATACGTGCATGAAGAAATACTAACTTCCCTAAAACCTTTCTTTTTAGTAAGTAATGCACGAACACCGTGTGATAATATATAAAATGTCTACGGTGACAATTGGATGTTTTTCAATATGGCAGCCCCAAAGCCCCAATATGGCAGTTCCAAAGTTACCTACTGCACCAACTCCATTTCACACGCATCCTTCCTGTGGTTGTCTGTTGAAACAAAAGGATGCACAGACACTCACACACATCTAGAAATACATTTTTTAGGGACACAAAAGGTAGTGGGCCAAACACAGTTCTTTACCTTGCTTTGTTCACCCAGAATAATCTCTTTTGATTAACTCAGAAATAGCTGGTCAGGGATCGTAAGTACATTTGCAAACTCATGATGCTAGGACTTTTGTCCTTTGCTGTATTCTCTTTTTTTGGAAGCAGATCACAGGTCTTGCCTGCGCTCAAGGAGGGTGAGAATTACATGAAGTTGTGAATATATCGCTGGGGAATCATGGGGGTCTACCCAAAAGCACACCCACCATAGATGGTTCCGTCTTTCCTGAAGTGTCTTAAAGAGAATTTTTGTGGGCATTGAGACACTACATAGAGCCTTGGCCTAGACGGGCAGGCCCTGTATCAGTTGGCTTTTGCTGATCAGCCAACAACCACAGAACCGAAGTAGCATATAACAGTAAACATGTATTGCCTGTGCGTTTGGAATCAGGTGGGGGTCTGCTGGTCCCACTGACCTGGGTGAGGCTCTGTCAAGGTCATGCTGCAGATTGGGGCTGCCTCCTGTAGTCCCACATGGGTGCATTCTCCCGGTGAGTGAAGGTGAGCGCAGCACACGCCTGTAAGGACAGGCACACTTGCACAAGTGCTTTGCAGGCCCCTGTCTTTGTCACGTTAGCTGATGTGCTAGAGACCAAAGCAAGTCCCACAGGCGAGCCCAGAGTCAGAATGTGAGGGCCAGCGAGGTTGCTCCGCAAGGAGTATGGATACTCGAGGAGCAAGGATGTGGAGCTGAAAGACGGTGGATGCGCTTAAGAACTTGGACTCGATCCCAGCGCTTCACTCCCCCACCCCCCACCAAATGAAAAGAGGAGACCTAGTGCCTAAAACTTGGGGTTTCTCTGGCTGACTTGGCTTCCATGCTGTTGGCATGAAAAATAATATCAAAACAAAAACATATGAATGGAGTAGATGAGAAAAGGCCATGCCTATAGAAACCCACCAGCAGCCACACCACTGACTTCAGAGCTCCATTCTCGGTGATTCCAGACACGGTGTATTATTCCCCAAAAGCAGGTGCCACAAGAAAATAAATGGGGATGACTTCTTGAAGGTGACAGACCTTGCTTGTTTGGTGCACACATGTCGGAAAGGCTATTCTTCCCAGGACCAGTGAAAATCAGGGAAACCGCAGGTGCCCATCTGACTGGACACTCTCATCAGCCCATTAGTACCGGGAGCTGTTTGTCTCTTTAACGTCCATTAAACCAGTATAGTGACGTCCTGAGGCCTACAGGATCGAATTGTAACAAGGAAAGAAAGAGTAAATGTAAATAAAAAGACAACTGACATGCAAAGACCTTCAAATTATTTTCTTCTTGACTATTATATATATTTATAATGTCTGAGAGGGACCTGGATTTGAATCCCAACTGTGGACCTCACTAGCTCCGTAATTTGGGGCGAATTATTCAATGTCCTCTGCGTCTGTTTCCTCGTCTGTAAGGAGAGGTGATGTTTTAACTTTCCATGGTTGAGATGATAAAACTATGGTCTGAGCCCCATGCTTGCCACAGTGCCAGTGCAGAGGTAGTCCAAGTTATTATTCCTGCAAAAATACGGCGGCACTCACCCGTCACCGCATTTTTTTTTTTTAAAAGCTGATGTTTTGGGTCATAGGACAAAGGTCAGTCATGAAATTAGTGAGGGTTTTCTACAAAATTTTACACATTCTTCAAGTGCCAGGCCTTCCCTGAATGTTGTTAGTCCATCTGTCCCGCCATTTGGAGGGATATCCTTTGCAGATGTTGTTACATTGAATGACGAGAGCTAATGTAAAACTGTACCAAAAGTTAGAAGACATGGTAGCCCCCAAACCGGCCACAGCCCCTCGTGCCACTAGGAATCTTCGCTGCCTATAGGTCATGGTTCCTTCACTTGTCGTAATGAATTCTAGTTAATTGCCCACAACTGACTTCGGTGAAGGAGAATTAGATAATATCTGTGAAGCTTTTGATCTTTTAAAAAGGCTCTCCCTAATCAAATTCATATATTCCAATGCAAAATTAATGACACCATTAATTTTTTATTATGCATTCTTATTAGCAGACTTAGGCCTACAGATGTTAATGAATTGCTTATTAATAAGTAGATATGTATTTAATTTCACAACGTTTTTCATGTTTTTTTCCAAAACCCCTTTCAGTGTGCCATTTAAAATCTTAAACCGGGCCTTTCCCCAGCAGCCTATTTTTATCATTAGCCGAAGTCCAAAGATGCGCTTTTCCAGGTCTCCATGGCAAGGTAGTTATCTGTATTTAATTAATCTTAGTTGATTTGAAAACATTCATGAGCAGTTATTAAACAGATACTATTTTTACAGAGAAGAAGGAAAAGGATGTTCACTTCTGTCCGGTCTGGTAGAAGAAACAAAGGACGTTTGAAGCCACGTGCCGCCTCTCCGAAGGGTGTCCGTGTTGCGTAATGTTTTATACAGAGTGTTTTACTGCAAGATGACTGTTGCTATACAAGGCTCTGAAATCCCAAATGTAATTAGGATCTTGTAATGAGCGGCGTTACGTAAGGAGATGCTTCTGACCCATTGTGAATGAGAACAAAATGTATAAGATTGAGAAACTCAATTAAGTTTCATTATGAACTAATTATCTCCCACATTCCATTGTTGCTTTAATACTGGAAGCCAAGTTAGAGAAGGTGGATATTGGAATACCCTCAAAGATGATTGAGAATGAATTGGGAAAAAAGTGAGGCTTCATTCCAGGATGGTGCCACAGGTGTCTCGTAAAGAGATGCTTAAAACCTGGTCAGCGACCCCGACACGGTGCGGTACCGAGGCAGAGAGGTCTGGCACTTGGCACCATACGCAGCAAGTTAGGTGATGCTGGCCCAGGACCAACACTAGCAATGCAGTGACGGTGTCCTTGGAGACGCCCCACTTGCTCCAGCCGCCAGAAGAAAATGGTTGCTGCTGCTTTCTTGGCATTTTTAATCAACTTCTCAATTATTGTCCTGGCAGCAGTAGTAACAGAAAGGTAAGCCGCCACAGAAATAACGAGCGATCGCGAGAGCAAGTTGTCCCAGTGTAGACCTGTCCGATCAAATTTTACCACTGTCAACATTTTTGTTCTTTTAATCTTTGAGGGGGAAAAAAAATGAGCGACCTCTTCAAAGTCATCAGGCTGGTCAGGGTCCCTTTTCTGTTTGGAAAAGGGTTCTGAAACATTAAATCTCTTTTGTTGGGTTTTAAGGCCAACTTGCTGTTTGTAGCAATTTCAGACATCTGCTTTATGATGTCGCTGAAAGCATTCCCCCACCACATTAAGCCCAGCTTTTTGGTCGCACAGTGATGTAAAGTTTATTGAAACATTTTTACATTTGCTTTCTTTGACCACAATCGTCATTTTCCTGTAACATGTGCTATTAAACGGGAACAGTGTAAACTCAGTGACATCGATAGCGTTCTCATTTGAGTCTACTGAATGCCGTTACTGTGTTTGTCCGCACTCGACTGCTGTTGACAGAGGTCTAGGAATATGAGTGGATTATCCTGGGCAACAGAAAAAGCTCATTGTTTTCGTTTTATTACTGTTGGAAGATCACGATGAAATGTCTAAAGTGAGTTGCAGGCTTCTTGGGGCCCAGAGCTCAGAGTTCAAAATGACCCTTCTTTGGTCGGATCCAAATCTGTGATTTGGCCCTGGTGCTATCCAGAAGCACCGAGCTTATGACAGCTGTATGCACGGTAAAGGTGAGGTGAAGAAGTAGCCAAAGGGAAATGTAGTAGGGAGAGCCCCGTGTTACTGAGCCCCTGGTGGATGTTTTCCTGGGTCTCACATGAGTGAGAATGGGCAGGAGAACAGAGGGCTACGACTTGGGGGAGAACAGGGGGTGGGGTGGGGGTGGGTGGTGCCTCAGTCGTCCTGCTCCGTCTCCAACATGAGTGCACGCACGCCTTCGCCGCCTTCCGTGAGTCTCCCACGGTTCCCTTGCTTTATGCTGGCTTTGTCAACTCCGGCGGCGCTGCTGGTGAAATGTTCGCAGGTGGAGATGAAAAGAGGTGACAGGAAGCGCACAGGGTCAGATCTGACCTTGTGAGTTTGTATGTGTGTGTGTGAGTGTATGTGTCTATGACTCACTGGAGGGTGTCTAACGAGACTGTGCCCCCAAGGTACAAATCAGACGAGGTGAAGTTTCACACTTGACAAAAGACTTCTAAGGTTCTTCTCAACGGTGCAGACCAGCAGGAGCGGTGTTTTACTCAAAAGTTGGAGAAGGTATTTAGTGCGATCCAAAGACAGATGTCACGGGGCTGTGAATGTCTTGGAATGCCATGCAGATATTTGTGGCTTGGTAGGGATCTGCACATGTGACTCTCCTGCTATAGAAATGTTTTATTAGATTCTCAAAGAGGTTGAGACCAAAGAAAGATTAAGGGACTGCTTCTTGGGATTACTGTAAGGTATAAGTTGCCTCCAGATCAAAAGAACTAACCCTTTGACGTGCAAATCCACTGAAAGGGAGAGAGTGGGGGTAGTTCGGAGCCATTCAGGAAGTGGAGGGACTCAGGCCTCCACCAAGAACTGGTGAAGGAAATTCACCAGAGTCAGGAAACTTGGTGACAGCCAGTCACCAGGGGGCTGGGAAAAGGTTCTCTTAGAGTGGAGATTGATGGGTGGAGAGAGAGCAGCGCTGGGCCCAATACCAAAGAGACGTTTTCAGCATCAGCCTGCTGCAAAACGAAACGGGCCTCCTTTTCCCTACATGTTCTTCCAAAAGCATCGTAAATCCTCAGCCTGCCCACCCCCCCAGCCCACATCCTGCAGAACACAGCCAGAGCTGTAGCCCCGCCGCACTAGGGACTACAGCTGGTCCGAATCCCTGTTCGTGCTTTTCTAAGGGCTACACTGGGCCCTGGCTGCCCCGGGGTGCCACTGCTCCCCACTTCTCCTAGGGACAGGCCTCCCGAGTTGGTTAACCGTGGCCACACTAATGCTGGGAATGCCCGTGACCCTGGTGATTGCTTTCTTCGCTCCCCGGTCAGAAGTCGGGCCAGTCTCTGCCGGCCTCACTCCTGCAGGGGTGAGGCAGTAGAGCTGTTCCCGGTGTCTCATCCTGCTCAGTCGAGAAGACTCTGGGGAACGTTCTCCCCTTGGCACTGACAGAGACCCAAGGCATCAACAGAAATCCTCGAGGCCTTGGAATGCCTCCTCTCGCACACTCTTGTATTCCCACGGGGGAACCCATCCCATCTCTGCCAAGCCGCTCGGGCCTGGGTCTGGGGCAGGCTGAAGATGAGAGGCACAAAAGCGATCGACTATGTGGACATCCGTGGAACCAACTTCTCCTACGTGATTCAGGTCTCTTCTCACCTGCTGTGAGGCTCAGACTTGATGAGATTCCGATTTAACAATCACGCTCATGAGTGTGGCGTAAGGGGGCCGGGAGCGGAGCCTGTGGTGACTTGCAGGTGCTTTCTCTTCGCCACAATGCGTCGCGCACGGACACCACGTGCGGCCCGCCACACAGGACTGCCTTGGCTGCTCCCGTGTTTACTGAGCAGAAGCTGCGATATCATTTTCCTGGGGTTTTCCATTTGGGGCACACAGCAGGAACATATAATAATAAATACAGGTCGGCCGCCCACTGTAGCAGGAGGCAGCCCTCCGGTTTATTAGCGGGCTCCCTCGGAGATGCAGAAGTGACAAAGAATCGTACCTTGTCTGCTTGGCTTCACAGGTCTGTGTAACTCGGCCGACAGCTGGATGATCGTGCCCAACATCAAGCAGAACCACTACACAGTCCATGGTCTGCAGAGTGGCACCAAGTACATCTTCATTGTCAAGGCCATCAACCAGGCGGGCAGCCGCAGCAGTGAGCCTGGGAAGCTGAAGACAAACAGTAAGTGCCACGAGCTCAGTAGAGCTGTCGCCTCCCTTCTGCTCTCCTTTCGGCCGCCTCTGTCCCCCTTTCTTTTCCTTCTGTCTGCCTCAGGCATCGTCGACAGGCCCGAGGAGCAAGTCAAGAGCCGGAGCGGTGGGGTGCAGTTGGCATCAGACGCCTCTGGGGTCCCCAACTCTCTCGACCCTTAAGGGCTGTGAGTCCATCCACTTCTCTGCATCGACTTCAGACCTGCTCGCTCTTCTAACAAATAATCCTGGAGGGGTTCTTGTGAGAATTAGAACAGATGTGTGTGTGTGTGTGTGTGTGTGTGTGTGTGTGTGTGTGTGTGTTTCTATTATGTATAATATATAAAATATGTATTTATGCTTTATATATTTATAAATATTTATTATTTTATTTATATATTTTTTATTTTATTATTTATATAAAACTTATATATCATATAAGATATATGAATATAAATTATATATATAGAGAGAGAGAGAGAGACCCTGATAGGTCGCTGGGGTGCTGCAAACGGCAAATTATTTTTCCATAACAGAAGAGCAAATTAGTAACTCTTTCTTCAAGAATTCCTTACTCCAGATATCTGTCTAGGTCTATGATTCTCAGAAGCAGTTCTGCTCTCCCCACCCCCAGCCCCCCAGGGACACTGAACAATGTCTGGAGATATTTTTGGCGGTTAGAACTGGGGTGGTTGCTACTGGTGTCTAATGGTTAGCAGCCAGGGATGATGGGAAACACCCCACACCCCACAGGACACAAGGAAAGATCTGGCCCGTACATATGTCTTGTAACACTGTCGTCTCCCTCGCTGTCTCTGCCCACATGTGTTTTCTTTTATCCTCTCTTTTTTCTTTACTATTTTTGATCTAGAAATATGTTCTATAACATGGAATTTCTTTGCATAGGACCTCCCAAGAGAAAGCAAAGGGGAGTGTGTCGATATGGGACCGTGTTAGACAGTTGCCCCTAGTCACTGGGGACCATTAACTGCTTTTCCAGAAGAATCCTCACTTAACGCAAGTCCTCGATTTCAGCAGCCAAATAACTTCATTATACTCTAGGCATATGAATTTCAGCCACATACATTTAGGTGTGAAGCTAATTTCTCCCCTCAGTATTTCTGCTGGTAAAGAAGGAAATGTTTTTAGAGATTAAATAGGAAAAGAATTAGTAAATGCATACACTGAGGTTAATTGTGTAGAAGATGTCTCTGAGACATCGAACACGTGCTTCATCACTTTCACTGAAGATATCGCATTCATTTCATGTAGACAGATAATGTCATCTTCTATTTCTAGACATGCGATTATTGAACAGATGTTATCAACTTGTACATGAGGAGTCGGCGGACTTTTCTGCAGTGTGCCAAAGAGTAAAGATTGGAGGCTGTGCACATTAGATGGTCTCGGTCACCATCCATTCTTATTCACCCCTGCCACCGCAGAGCAAAAGCAGCCATGATTACCCATAAATGAATGGACATGCTTGGGTTTCAATAAAACTTTATTCACAAACACACGCAGTATGCTGTGTTTGGCTTGCAGGCTGTAGTTTTCCAAACTCCTACATGCACGATATTACAATGAATTGAATTCTTTAGTAAAGTAAATGGTTAATTTGGCCCTTGAACTAATTTGTCCTCATTGAAGCAAAAGCCTTGAACTTGGAAAGAGTAGGTGATGGTGCATTTGAGAAACACATCTGAGGCGCAGGTGGAATTTGCTCGCTGAGGATGCAGGGGTTGGGGTTGGGCCTGACCTAAGCTGTCAAGGGGCTACTCCACGCGTGTGTAGGTGAGGGTATGAGTTGAGGCGAGATCGCGTACATCTCCCGTCTTCATGAGGCCAGTCTTCCTGACGGCTTTGCCATTCTCATATTCCTCGATGGATGAAGGGCAAGCAGCACACGGCCCCCCTCTTCAGTGACGGCTGCCTTAATGAAACCACCCCCCTCCCCGGTCTGCCCATTAACGTCCACTTGTTTTATACACAATCTCTTCCACCTTTAAAAAATGGAAATATTGGGGCGCCTGGGTGGCTCAGTGGGTTAAAGCCTCTGCCTTCGGCTCAGGTCATGATCCCAGAGTCCTGGGATCAAGCCCGGCATCGGGCTCTCTGCTCAGCGGGGAGCCTGCTTCCCCCTCTCTCTCTGCCTGCCTCTCCGTCTACTTGTGATTTCTGTCTGTCAAATAAATAAATAAAATCTTAAAAAAAAATGGAAATATTTTAGGCAAAACTATCTTCATACTCTCCTTGCCTTAGTTCATACTTTATCCCTAACAGTTGCTGGCATGATCATTTCTGAGGACAGCAGTGTTTCCCAAGACAAGCTGAAATTCAAACTCAGCATGTAACCCAGCAGCTCTTAGAGCCTCTGACAATGTCCGTGCCCTGATCCGCCCTTGGAAGCTTTTCCTCAGCATCCTCTTTAAGCTTTTCTGTGATGTGGACAGAAATCTAAAATGGGTCAGCAGACGATCCAGCCTGCCAGCCACATCTGGCTGCCTGTTTTTATAAATAAAGTTTCATTGGCACACAGCCGCACCCGTCCATTTCCCTCTCGTCTCGGGCCGCGCGCGCCGCAGCAGCAGTCGGGTAGCCACACAAGAGGCCACATGGCCAGCCGAGCTGAAAAGATCCATCTGGTCTCTCATCACAAAGATGTGCTGACCCCTGTCCTAAGAGAAGGGATTTGACAGGTGTGCGTGTCGTGTTTGTATCCAGGTGACGGCTAGAGATCCTCTGACCCACGTGGACGTGACACAGCACTCATTGCCCTGTGCCCTGCGTGCCACTGTCTCAGCCGGGGTCGTGGATTTCCCCAGCCAGTGTACCAAACTCTGTCCGCTGGCTGCCTGAGGGCGGGACTACCAACTGCGGCCGTGGCCGTGGCCGTGGCCGGGGAAGGGAGTGGCCTTGAGACAACTTGGTATTTGCATGATCTCGTAACTCATTTCATGCCTTTTAACACCGATGTGGTGTCGAATGACAGGCAGTCCTCCAGGACCGTGTTACATTCTCAGAGAAGTAACAGCTATGACAAGACGCTCAGGGGTGACTCTGCCAAGATTTTCTAACAGTTCGATCTTCAAAACACAAATATGTATTATATATATATAAATCTTAAAAATTACATAAAGAGGGGCGCCTGGGTGTCTCAGTCATTGGGCGCCTGCCTTCGGCTCAGGTCATGGTCCCAGTGTCCTGGGCTCAAGCCCTGCATCGGGCTCCCTGCTCAGTGGGAAGCCTGCTTCTCCCTCTCCCACTCTCCCTGCTTTGTTCCCTCTCTCTGTTGTGTCTCTCTCTCTCTCTGTCAAATAAATAAATAAAATCTTGAAAAAAAGTTACATATAGCGAGATCTTCAAAACACAAATGTGAATAATGAAATACAGGGGGCTTTATTTTATGTATATGTATGTGTACACACACACACACACACACACACACACACACTCAGGAGTAGAAAACCCAGGTGTTATGATCACATTTTTTTCCTCATCTTGTTGTGGGCTGAAAAATGCACATTTTTATAATCATTCTGAGTTCATGAGACTCATTTGTAATTTGCAACAGTTTCAGAATTATGTAAAGCCTTTATGTCAAAATCTGCAATCTTGATTTCTTTGGCTTCTGGTCTGTAGTGTACTGAGTGTGAACCCCATTTTAAGCTGGATCGAATATGGGAATGGTTAAAAACGAAGTCTTCATTTTCTCCTTCCCTTGGGAATGCTGTTTAGCCACTGTGTACCAGAGCTGCTTGTGTCCAGCTGGGACCCCCGAAGATCGCTTCTACTACATACCGTGGTTAATCCCCGCCCATGCTACGGTTGAATCTTTAACCATAGCAACTCTAGATCCCCATCTCAGAACTGACAGGCTGGGAGTTCATGAAAACAGGATCATGTTTGTATTCAATATTTTACCATGTTCTTAAAACCTGATTCTGAAAATACAGTATTGGTCATGTTGAAATAAACGGTCCTCTTCTTCCTCTCTTTGTTTTTTGTAAACTTGTTCCCAGGCCAGCCATTTAAACTGGACCCCAAGTCTGCACATCGAAAGCTGAAGGTGTCCCACGATAACTTGACGGTAGAACGTGATGAGTCATCCTCTAAAAAGAGCCACACGCCCGAACGCTTCACCAGCCAAGGGAGCTATGGTGTAGCTGGAAATGTGTTCATTGATAGCGGTCGGCATTACTGGGAAGTGGTCATAAGTGGGAGCACATGGTAGGCAATGCTATCTGTTGTCGTCCAGTTACAAAAAGCCACATGTCATTCTGTACTTTGTCAGAGCATTAACCCATTCCAGGGCCCGTCTTGCAGGAAAATATGCAGAAAAGCTTTTTGTGTCTGTTGTTGCAACAGTAGTGCTGCGTAACGAGCACCCCAAGACTTGGTGGCTTCAAACAATAATCATTCATGATTGCTCGCTCACTACACCCTTGTGTGGGTCCGCTGCCAAGGCTAATCTCGGCTGGGCTTTGCTTTAAGCTGTAGATTGGGTCTAGGTCTCTTCTTTGTGTCTCTTCAGCCTCTTCGGCCACGAGGGCTGCCCGTGTCACGTCTCTCTCGAGCCCGAGAGCGCAAGCACAGCTAGGCCAGCCCATTCCAAGCCTTTGCTTACATCACTGTCTACTGACTTCTCATTGGCCAAAGCCAGCCACCTAGCCATAGCCAAAGCCAAAGCTGGTGGTCTAGGGAAGAATCTCTCTCCCATGGAGGTGAGAGGAAGGAGCGAATATTTGCAAAACCATCATCTAGTCTTCCTTTCAGCCAATAAGAAAAACAGCTTGCTTTAAGTCCATCCATTTTTTTTTCTTTTTTACTTACTGCAAGAACTGTAGTTGAGTTGATTGAGTCCCGGTCCCTAACAGAGCTAGTATGCTAACACTGCTCTTCTGTGCCTTAAAACACGAGTCAGCCAATGACGGCCAGCGGGCCAGACCTGGCCCTGTGCCTGTTTTGGTAAACTAAGTGTTGTGGGAACACAGCCATGCCCATTCTTTTCCACATTGTCTGTGGCTGCCTCTGAGCCACACGGCAGAGTTAAGCAGTTAAAATAGAACCCTGTGGTCCTCAAAGCCAAAAATATTAACTCCCCAGCCCTTTATCGAAAACGTGTGCCGATTCCTTCTCTAAAACGTTACTCTTTATCATCTAAAGAGAATGAATTTCTGTTGCCTTGTATGTTTTATGACTCTAGACGGGGCCGACAACTGGAAATAGTCCAGAACGGAGGGGCCGAGGCAGTGAGCAGTTGCTGGAAACCCTTTCGAATAGTCTGTTAGGTCCAGCGCCATGCCTTCCGCCCGGCCAGATCTCGAAAGCGGGGGGTGTCAGGCAGGGTGCGGTGTCTGCGTTGGAATGAGCCAGCCTTTGCCTGGTGAACCTCACAAAGCTTACCTTGTCTATTCTGTGAGCCACGAACTGCCCCCCTTCCTCTGGCTGGCTGGCTGACAAACACCTGTTCGCTCCTGCTCTTTTATTTGTGTTAACCTCGCCCTCCTCTAGCACAGCTGTGGGCCACGCATGGTCTAAGCATCCTGCAGATGTTCACTCCTTCATTCATCTTAATAGACCCCAGGTAGGCGCTAGAATCCCCCATTTACAGATGAGATGACTGGGGCACATGCCCGTTAGCACAAGGTGGCAAAGCTCAGAGGCGACAGAGTTAGGAAGGCCACAGTCAGGGCGCAGGCTCTGACCCAAGGCTTCACAGACCTTTCTGTGACAGGCTAGTGAGCCGGTGTTGCAGTTTGGCAGGCCAGATGATTTTTATCCTGACGACTCAGCAATCCGGTTGTAGTGGGAGAGCAGCCGCAAACCGTGTGTCCGTGACTGGGCATGGCCTTGAGCAAATAAAACTTTATTTATAAAAACCAGCAGAGGGCCCAATTCGGCCCGTGGGTTACAGTTTGCTGATCTCTGCTCTGAAGCACTGTGCTCTGATTTTGAAACCTAATTAGTCTTTAGGGCGTACGGTGGTATACTTGATGAGCGATAGCTTGCTAATCCTTGCTTAGAAAGAAACACCTCCCAACTGCATAACCCAAAACGAGGAGTATCATCACAGTGTTATGTTTGAGATAAGGAAGCTAAATCATTTATTGTGTCTTAAGTCCCTTATGGTGTTGGTTCAAAGCCACTGAGATCTAAAAAGTGAAACCATAAGCTTGGGTGTCTCCTTTCTCCCCAGAACGGTACCTATGTCGGCCAGGCAAGGTTTTCTCCTGTTGTGATCCTCGGAATGCTCTTGGCCCAGAACATTTTCCTGTTCCAACATCCTGCCAGAGGATGGAGGACAAATCCTTCCGCCCCACTCGGCTCTGGGCCAGATTTGGCATTTACAGTTTTTAGCAGCACTGGGGCAAGATAAAAGCCCGAAGGAAAACACGATGAATTTTTCCAGGTGCAAAGGAGCAAGCATTTCTAGTTAATTAATGTGTTTGTATTAATCTGGGATAGACTCCAGTGTCTAAATAATTACAACCCCATTAATAATTATTTATGATAAATGATACCCGATCATTATGATCTCATTCCCATTGATGAATGGTGAGGGAATTTCCAGCAGACCCCTTCAGTTATATAAACACAGATCAGTATTACCTTGAAAACACCCTCCAGATGTCAAAACCAACTCAGGAGAGGGGGAAAATCTAAAATTAATTGCCACACTTTGGATCTTTACACACCGGATTGTGTCAGCTTCAGAAAACATCTCATGGAGAAAGTAGTTGAACATTTCCTGGGAGGTGTTCAAGGAGAAGGGGTGACCCGTATGATCAAATGCTTGGGGCACCTTGATTTACACCAGCTAATGACACATCCATTTTCTCATGAAATATCATCCTGACTTTCAATTAACGTGTATGTTACGATCCCTGCAATTGGGGCGTGTTAGCATTGCTCTGAGAAACATAATTTTTATACTTCGTGAATTCTCCATGTGTCACTGCGTAACTTAATGGAACATTACCTCCTGCCCACACCTTTCAAGCTCAATGGAAATCCGTACATCGTTTTACAGATTAATGATAACATAATGGTATTTTCCTTTGCTTAATGGGCTATGCACGGAGTTATTTTCTTACTCTCTAATGCTGTTAATGTGCACTTGGTGTTTTATGAAATGGTGTTAACTCACCGTGGGTTCACGCGAAGACGACTGGGCCAGAAGTCAAGGGGGGAGGGGGCGATATTCCGGATTCTGCTCCTAATTGTAACCTTCTCTGTGTTTTCCCATCGCTACATGAAGGCAGTCATACCTGCCGCAGCTGCTTCATAGCAGGTTCAGTGAAGGTTCAGATGGGAAATAAACGTCAGAGCCCTTTGGTACAAAGTAAAAATGGTGGCCAGAAACAAAAAAGAAACAATACAAACGTGGCTAATTTTGTTATGCAAATGCAGGTTCCACAGTATCTGAAAAATGGAAATAGCGTCTGTGGGGCATAGTGAACATCGTGGGGGACCAATAGTCCAAACGAAAACCTTTCCAAAGTGTCTCTCTGGCTGCTGTCTGGAAAAGAGTGTTTCTCCACCTCTTAGAAGTTCTGGATCTCGGGCAAAGCCATCACAGGGGCAGAACCTGACCCAGCCTCCCACTGGGAAAGGAATCTGGGAAATGCAACCCCAGGATTCTCCCCGGGATGCAGAACCGGATTGGCCGGAAAGAGGAGAGGAGGCCAGGCTGATGGCAGGCAGGCTAGGACACTAGGCTTTCCTGAGGATGGAGTCCCTCCTCTTTTTAAATTCAGTGATAGCATGTTCTGTTCCTTTTTTTTTTTAACACAGCACTCTTAAAGTGATTGTATTTTAAATCCAACTTGTTATTATTATTTTTTTAAGAATGTAATTTTATCAATTTTTTTTTTCTCCGCACTGGGTAAGGTACCCTATGTCAGTATTGGCTTAGACTGGTTTCTGCTCTAACATATTAAAGGTTGAGCTCTGAGTCATTTACTCTTTATTAAGAATGATAGGCTTTGCTTATCTTAATCACCAAAATCCTGCAAATGTTAGGGAGGCATACCTCAGCAGGGTAAAAAGAGATTAAGGAGCTTCGAAGACTGTAGAAAGAATTCTTAACTTTTTTGAGCCGTTGAGAGTATATTTGGAGTAACTGGGATATTCAGAATTTTTTAAAATGTAGTAAGAAATGTAATCAGAGGGGCTCTTGGCAGTGATGAATCACATACTTTCTGGTGAGGGACGGGATTACAGAGCTACATTTGCGGCTTTTTGAGTCATCCTGGGTTCAAATTCTGATTCTGAGACTTCTTAGTTATGTGACATTCGGCAAAGATAATAAAACAGCAGTTACCCAAGATTCCTTGCTGTGCCTTGTGCCCCAGATTTTACACATATTCTTCCCTTTACTCCCCAGAATCACCCTCCGAGATGGACGCTGTCCGTGTCCCTGTGTTGTAGATCTAGGAGAGGACAAGGAACTTACACTGGAAGTGAAAACCATTCTCTACAATTACCTGTTGCAAACTGTACTCGAAGTCATGGAAAATGACAGACATGGGGGTCAGCCGAAAAATTCGAAGTAGGTCAGAAGGAGAAGTCTAGGGTTGTGCTATTCAATATGGTAGCCCTGAGCCACATGCAGTTAATTTAAATCATTCAACTTAATTAAAATTAACTAAATTTAAAGTCTGGTTCTTCAGTCTCGACAGGCGCAGTTCAAACATGTGGCTCATGGCTACCATACTGAGCGGGGCAAAACATTTCACTCATGCAGAAACTGCTATGGGACACCACTGGCCTAGAGAGTTCATTGTGTGGGCCGTGACGCGTGTAAAAAACAAACAAACAAAACCCAAAAGACAGCGAGGCACAAAGTTCTAATTCTGTTATAATGTCCGAACTAAAAATAGGAATGTGAGTTAACACAGCGGCCCACGTCCGCGCACTGTGTGTTTGGGAGGAAGGTGATGAGGAACACTTGTGTTAGGGCCTTTGCCAAGTTTTCACTGAACAATGAGCAGGGAAAACAGCAAATCATGTTTTCATGACCCCTGAAAACCAGAGAAAAGAGGTAGTGTCCATATGCAACCCACCTCATGGTTTTTGCCGTCGCTGTTTTGTTCATGCAGGTATGCCATTGGCCTTGCTTACAAATCGGCCCCGAAGCACGAGTGGATTGGAAAGAACTCTGCTTCCTGGGCGCTGTGCCGCTGTCACAATAACTGGGTGGTAAGACACAATAGCAAGGAAACCCCCATCGAGCCAGCCCCCCACCTCCGGCGCGTCGGCATCCTGCTGGACTATGACAATGGTTCCATCGCCTTCTACGATGCTTTGAACTCCATCCACCTCTACACCTTCGACATCACCTTCTCGCAGCCTGTGTGCCCCACCTTCACAGTGTGGAACAAGTGCTTGACCATTATAACTGGCCTTCCCATCCCAGACCATCTGGACTGCACAGAGCAGCTGCCGTGAGCACCTGGCCACGGGGAGCTGCTTTCTGGGTAATACAAAGGGTCGTGGCCACCATTTCAGGGACAGAGAAAGCACAGGCTTCCAGAGTGATTAAATGTCGCCAAAAAGCGTCCAGAAATATCAGCTAGGATAGGACTCGAAATAGGCGATTCTCCCCTTTTACTGTCTTTTGTATTAAGTACACGCTTTAATAATTTCTTCAAATTTTTCCTGTATTTGCAGGAAAATTTATAGATTATTTATAAAAGAAACATAACCGGAATTACAACTCTTAGACATTATTTGGTTTTGCACATTAAGAGGCCCAGAAGTTTACCAGCTCTTTACAACAACCTTTGTGTCATCACGGTCTGTGGGCTTGAGGAAAAAAAAATCTTTTATAGTTTTGTATGTTTATTCACCTCCTCACATCATCGTATCTCATACTGATCCCATCGTGGGTCCTGTTGCCTCGACAGTGCGTAACAGAATATGCAGTTACCTTAAAAATAAAAAATAGTTTCGAACCTAGTAGGGCAGCAAACGGGCTTTCTTAGTCTGCTTTATTTTGAAGTGTTTTCAGTGTGATGTCAAAACCGTCTTGGATCAAGAGGGAGAGTGGAAAGAATTAACTTGGGAATCTGCCATGGCCCAATCTTTAATCGCCCTCTGATGGCTGGTGGGGTCACGTTGGACAGAAAGGTTCTGAAGCCTTTGGCCATGTGTGATCTCACCCTTCCCAGGACTCAGGGTTCTGGGAGAACATTAAGAATGAGCTTGCCATTAAAAATAGTCACTTCGAATCCTACTGATGATTCAAAACGTCATAGGCTGATTTGTCTTTGATCAGCAGTAGGATTCTTTTTCATGACCTAAATGTATTTCATTCTTCCTTTTAATAGTTTCTTTAGGCCTGTGACATCACTTACTACATTTAATAGCTGTCCTGTCTCTCTTTCCCCCAAATCATTCTTCTTTTGTTGCTGGGGGTGAGGAAATTAACGTTTTCTGTTACAAATGGTAGTACCACTTTGAATTGACTTTGCTCTCCAGGACATCAACACAGGGCCCTGACTGTCTCTACCACGTCCAGATATGACTCACCCCCAAATACTTAATATTTATGAGTTGGTAATGACAAGTGACGTTGCATAAAGTACTCTTTACTAGTATATGTGCCTCAAAAGTTATAAACAGACTTTTATTAAACACATCTCGAAAGATGTAGAGGTCCCTCTGTATTCTAGTATAGTTCACCATAGAGTTGTAAAACAAAAAACAAAAAACAAAAAAAGAACAAAACAAAACAAAAAAAAAAAACAAAAAAATCAAACTCACTATTCCCATGCTGGAACCCGCTCATAGAACCTGCTAACAGAATGTCAGGTGGGATTCTGGGCCTGCTGATCTGGTAAAATGGAATGGTCCATGAAGCAAGGCTTTCGTAAGCAGCCCTTGGACTTGGACCGGGAATCCAGCATTGGTTCTATCTTGACGAAGGGTGTGACATCTATAAGTCATTTCATCTACTAAAATATTTATCTGAGCTACTGAGTTGGCCATTTTGACTGAACGGACTGATGGATTTAGGCATTGTTTTTAGCAATTTTGTTTTTAACCAAATCAACCCATTGTCTCCCTGAGATCCGTCCATAGACCCCCTGTTTCAGCATGGCGCTGTGTGAGCCCCAGCCTAGACCCCATGGGCTGTGTCACGCCTGCTTCTGTCCTCTTCACCCCCAGAAGCTCTCCTTTTTCTTAACAGATAGAGTTTATATATTTACTATATTATTTATACCCAGATGAATATTTTGATAGCTACTTAGGACAGTTCCACATCTAAAAGATGGACACCTCAATGGAAAAAAAGTTAATCATTCTCTGGAAACTTTTTTTTTTAACGGTATAAAAACAACGTGTATTTGCCTTCCCTGAACGAACTGAAAGGGTTGTAATTTTTACATACTGTTTTTGGTAGCTGGATAACGGATATTTTAATGCACTTTGTACACTAACAGGTTTTAAATAAAAGGGTCTAAAACTCAGCTTCTGAGTTTTTTAAAATCATGGTCTCCAGGTACCAGTAAACGCTACAGTTTGCCTTATGATGTTAATGTAAAGCATTTACAAGGACAATATTTCCATGAATATAATGTTTTTCAATACAAAGAAGTTACTACTCGAATTTTCACTGCAAGCCATTTAGTTTCTGTTTTGGCTATTTTTATAAGGACAAGAGGGATTATGTTATAATTTGGTTGTGGAAGTCTCACTCTTTGCTAACTTAAAAACCTTGTGGATAGCAGCAGTTACTATTTCCATGTTGTCATATTTACAGGAGAATATGTATATGGTGAAAGGCCACAGTGTTTACCTTCATTACTGTAATGATGTAGAAAAGATTTCCATGTGGATTTTTTTTTAAGTCTAAGAAATACACGCCATAAACATTGCTGCAGTACAATTCTTTTAAGTGGACTGGGGTCACAGTATTTTGTTTTCGAGGTCCTGACTTCATAGGAAGCATTGTGACACAGGGGGAAAAGAGATGGCAGTGCCAGTTACATTAATACAGCCAAACTGATGTGGCACCAGCCAAGGCTGCCAGGTCTGATGTCGTGGGTGTGTGAAGAGGGCTGTCGCCGCCATCTTGAAATTCTGTGTAATATTTGAATAGGGGGCCTGCACCTTCGTTTTGCGCTGGGCCCCCAAAATTCTATAGCCAGTCCTCATAACAGAACTCAGAAACAGGGTACCTCTCTTCCTGGTGGATACAAATGAAGAAACCTGGATCCAACGTCAAGAGTGGCTGGCCATATAATTCAAGTAGGAATCCAAATGGATTAAGAGGAGAATGGCATGGGTGAAGATGTTCTTCCCAGCTTGAAAAAAAGGAAAAGAAAAGACTTCAAAAACTGACTGCAAATGTTGGTGAGGATGTCTGCTGGAGAAGAGGAAATGGCCTGATGGCACATGCGCTAGTTGATCGTGGTACTGAGATAACTGACCCTAAACTTCCCATTAACTGAACCAGCGCTGTCCGGTGAACGGGAGATTCTGTTTTGGCTCCACGCACCTGTGCGGTGCCAGAAGAGAGACACACGTGCACGCTCGCCTACCGGTGCTGTTGGTGTTGGGAAGTTGATGATCTGGTCTACCCTTACCAAATGTTAAAAAGGAGACAAAGACCACGATGATGGGGGCAGGAGGATGTGTTTGAAATTGTGCTTCTCAGCGAAGGGGCGATTTGGCAATGTCTGGGAGAGGGTGCTATTGGCGTCTAGTGGGTAGAGACCAGGGATGTTGCTCAACAGCATCCGGGCAAAATACCAGTGGTGCTTCGGGGGGGAAACTTGATCTTTGGGGTTCTTCAAAGCAAAACTCTCACAAATATGTTTTACTGTTCCTGTCATTGCTTCAATGCCCGAGAGCGAAAGAAAAGGGGACACCACTGCAAAACCTTCACTGCAGTGGCTCCTTCACTTTAAAAAATATATATATTTACAAAACCATGGTAAAAGCCTGGAATCTGGAAAGCAGCCCCAGCCTGTGTCAGTGGGAATGCGGGGATTGGCATCCACGAGGATGTGGATGCGATCGGCTTAGCTGGGAAATGCCAAGCCGACTCTGTAGGCCGCTCCTTTCACCCCAACAAACGCAGCCCCTGGTACTTGCATCAGGCTGCCACGCCCTCGGTCCTGACTGCTCTGGCCATTGCTGTTGATTTCTAGTTCAAAATAAAATCCTTTTTGTGGTTCCAAGGCCCTCTGTGTCGCCTCTCTCTGTTGCCTTTTCATCATTGTGTGTTTTCACGCTCATTGTTTCCACACGTATTTATTCACCATCTGCCGGGCTTTTTGAACTACTTTGCGACCTAGAACGTTTCCTTTTATTCCGCAAACTCCGACCAACTATCCCACTTCTCTCCATTCAGAACACAGTTACTAAGCTCCAAAACAGTCCTTAGGAAATTTTTAAAAAAAGGAAAAAAAAAAAGAAACAATAAAGGAAACCTACACAGAAGTGGAGAGCCAGAACAAGAATGGCTTGATTTCGAGTCTTCCAGAAGGCTTGGAAGAGGTGAGGACAAGGGGGACTGGAGCAGAGGAGTGAGGCTTTTCACAGTGGAGGCTGCTGCACGCCCAGTGGCCGGCCCGTAAGTCTATCCCTGACTCCATCCTGTGGCTCCCGGGACTTGACTTTCTCTCGTTAGGGATACAAGCCCTTTCGATGGAAGTCAGCGTGCTGCGGAGTGGTCGTGGGTCTGCAGCGCCGGCGCCACCTGCGAGCTGGCGAGTAATGCCCGTTCTCCAGCCCTACCCGCCCCCCCAGGCCTCCTCATCAGCATCTCCCGGTGTGGGGCCAGCAGTGAATTCGAAGAGGCCCTCCTGGGGACGCGGATGCTGGCAAAGGTTTGCGAAGCGAAGCTCGGGAGGGCTTTATCCGGTCCCCTATCCCCTGTGAAAATGCACTTACAGCCTGAAGTGTGTTTTCAAGGTAATGTGCTTTAGAGACAGCATGATGTAAGGCGGTCATTCGTAACCCGGCAGAGCGTTAAAATCGCCTTGTTTACAAATGCTGATTCCTGGGTCCCCTGCTGGCAGATCAGGGCTGAAAGAAGGTTTCGAGGGTGGCCCGGCTCCCTATCCTGTTGTCTGAACAGATTCTAAAGTGCCGCCAGCATTGGCAGTGGGTGGCGGAGACAGGGCTCGGCCCCTTTGCTAAAGAAGTCAGAGAGCGAATTATTTGGGGGTTTTGCAGGGCATACTGTCTCCGCGGCAACTGCTGGAGTCCGCAGCTATGGAGTGAAAGCAGCCCTAGAGAATATGTAAATAAATGGGTGAGGCTGGGTTCCAATAAAACTTTATTTGCAAAAACAGGCATGGCGCTGCCTTTGACCCTCAGCGTCCTTTTGCCGCCTGCTGCTGTAACAGATCCAGTACTCGACTCACCACGGTGCATTCACGATCCCCTCTCCCTGAGGCTCGGCGGCGTGGCTCTGGGCCTCTTAGCTCTCAAGGCCTTTCCACCTTTGAATTACATCAATTCTGAAAGCACAGAACTCGTGGAGTGCTCGTGGAGTCACCGAGTGCTTAAGACAGGGCCACTCCAAAGTTATTAGAAGTTTCTTTCAATCGGTAGAGTAGGGTGTGTCAGTTCTAATGATTAGCGTTCCCTCTTTCATAATTTTGGGTTGAATCAGCCCTTCTCATAAGTGACAGGTGTGGAAAATAGATTCCCTTTAATAAGAGTTTTGAAGTACATTTAATTTGAACTTTTGAAACTGAACAGACAGCGCTGTAATTAATCACCTTTCAAAGTCAGCTTGAAGGGCATGCCAGACACTCCAGAGAGTGGCCCGCATCTTCCTCTTTTTTAAGTTATTATTTTTAAAAATACACAAGTAGACATGTTGAAGAAGATAGTTGCTTGTGATGATAGTAGGACCATAAAAAGGGAGACATGTGCAGCTTGCAAAGTCCTCCCTTGAGTATCATTCTTGTGTGGGATGCACATTCAAGAACAAAATAAAAAAATGGGGTTAAGGCCTTATGGAAAACTTTTCTTGTAGCTGTCCTATCTTAACGTGGGCGATTTATGGAGAGGAATTCAGGTCTCCCTTTGGATCTTTTTCAGCCATGTTCTCCTGGGAGAATTATAAAAGCATGATTAAACAGGAAGTATAGCAATTAACAGAC